GGAACATGAGAGCACTGCTGAGAGTTACAGGGACCTCGGTGTAACGCAAAACAACTGGCATGACTTCGGCGCAGCTTTACAATCTCACCAGCATGCACTAGCTATCCGTATTAAACTATTTGGAGAGGAACATGAAAGCACTGCTGACAGCTACAGGCAACTCGGTGTAACGCAAAACAACTTGCAAAACTACGGCGCAGCTCTACAATCTTTTTAGCATGCACTAGCTATCCGAATTAAACTATTTGGAGAGGAAAATGAAAGCACTGCTGAGAGCTACAGGGACCTCGGTGTAGCACAACACAACTTGAATGACTACAGCGCAGCTTTACAATCTCACCAGCATGCACTAGCCATCCGTATTAAACTATTTGGAGAGGAACATGAAAGCACTGGTGAGAGCTACAGGACCTCGGTGTAACACAAGACAACGTGGATGACTACAGCGCAGATTTACAATCTTACCATCATACACTAGCTATCCTTATTAAACTATTTGGAGAGGAACATGAAATCATTACTAACAGCTACTGGGAACTCAGTGTAACGGAAAACAACATGCATGATTCCAGTGCAGCTCTAAAATCTTACCAGCTTGCATTAGGTATCCGTATTAAACTATTTGGAGAGGAACATAAAAGTACTGCTGACAGCTACAGTCAGCTCGGTGAAACACAATACAACCTGCATCACAACAGCGCAGCTCTACAATCTCATCAGCATGTACTACGTATCCGTATTAAACTATTAATTTGGAGAAGAACATGAAAGCACTTCTGACAACTACAGTCAACTCGGTGTAACACAATACAACCTGCATCACTACAGCGCAGCGATACAATCTCACCAGCATGCACTAGCTATCCTTATTAAACTGTTTGGAGAGGAAAATGAACGCGCGGTTGACAGCTACAAGCAACTCGGTGTAAGGCAAAAGAACATGCATGACTACGGGGCAGCTCTACAATCTCACCAGCATGCACTAGCTATTCGTTTTAAACTATTTGGAGAGAAACATGAAATCACCGCTGACAGCTACTAGGAACTCGGTGTAACGCAAAACAACATGCATGACTACAGCGCATCTGTAAAATCTCACTAGCATACAATAGCTATCCGTATTAAAGTATTTGGAGAGGAAGATAAATGCGCTGCTGACAGCTACAGGCAACTCGGTTTAACACAATACAACATGCATGACTACAGTTCAGCTCTACAGTTTTACCAGAATGCACTAGGTATACGCATTAAACTTTTTGTAGAGGAACATGAAAGCATTGCTGACAGCTATTGGCCAGTCGGTGTAACACAATACGAGATGCATGACTACAGCGCAGCTCTACAATGTCAACAGCGGGCATCGGTTATCAGTATTAAACTATTTGGAAAGGAACATGAAAGCACTGCTTACAGCTACTAGGAACTTGGTGTAACTCAAAACAACATGCATGACTACAGCGCAGCTTTAAAGTGTCACCAGGATGCACTTGCTATTCGTATTAAAATATCTGGAGAAGAACATGAAAGCACTGCTGACAGCGATTGGCAAGTAACACAAAACGAAATGCATGAGTAGAGCGCAGCTCTAGAATGTCACCAGCGGGCATTGGCTATTAGTATTAAGCTATTTGGAGAGGAACATGCATGAAAATACTGCTGACAGCGACAGGCATCTCGGTGTAACACAATACAACATGCATGACTAATAATACATGTATACAGCGCATCTCTAGAATCTGAGAAGCATGCGCTAGCTCTCCATATTAAACTATTTGGAGAAGAACATAAAAGGACTGCTGACAGTTACTGGGAACTCGGTGTAACTTAAAACTACACGCATGACTACGGCGCAGCTCTACAATCTCACCAGCATGCACTAGCTATCCGTATTAAACTATTTGGAGAGGAACATGAAAGCACTGCTGACAGCTACCGGCAAGTAGGTGGAACACAAAACAATATGCATGAGGACAGCGCAGCTCTACAATCTCACCAGCGCGCTTTGGCCGTCTGTATTAATTTATTTGGAGAGGAACATGAAAGCACTGCTGACAGCTACAGGCGACTCGGTGTAAGACAATACAACATGTATGACTACAGCGCAGCATTACAATGTTACCAGCGGGCATTAGCTAACCGTCTTAAACTGTTTGGGGAAGAACATGCAAAAACCGCTGATAGCTACAGGCAAGTCAAGATCACTCAAGACGCCCAGCGAAAGTGGAGAAAAGTAAAAAGAACTAAGAGAAAATTTCAAAAATATGAATAGAGCTATTTTTAAGCTAAGTGATTCTTCATTTCTAAAAGAATGATGGGAGTTTGGAAATATTATTCACAGCAGCAAGGATATCTTTTAGAATGTATTTTCTGCTGACTCTGCATGTGAGCATAGAATGGATAGGAAGATGATTAGTCAACTATTAGTATCTCTTCTCAGTCCGTCAAAAAAAACGCGCGAGACACGCAAATGACGCGTGCGCACTCCCCTCATTAAATCTGAAGAAAGAGAGACTGTTTGTAGTCTAGAAGATGATCGTTAAAACAGTGGAATCTGCTTTATGGAAACCCGTTTAATAAATAACAGTTTCCTTTGTCCTGACGGTAACTGGTGATTGGAACGGACGGTACTGGTTATTGCAACAGTGTGTGTCTCGAATGACTGGAAACGCTATCAGACACCTTACGTTACGGACACTAGTGATCAGTGCGCCCGATACATCTTAAGAGCGAGAGCTTAAAAGAGGTGGCTAACGCCTGTAGAAAGGCTAAACAAACGAAGGGTGGGTGGAGGGTAGCGTATTAGCCAAATCAAAGCTACACTTTCCCCAGCCCTGTCGGTAAATCGATACTCTATGTGGCAGAGGTTTTTCATGCGCGGTTTTCGGTTTCGGTCACGGTCGTGTCTCCGGCCTGCGGCCGACGAAGCTCGTCGCTGAACGCGAGGAAAAACCTCTGGTACCCAGGGTACCAAATCGAGTGAAACTGTTAATTAGCCGCTCAAACACAATTAGAAGAAGGTATAATTGACACAAAAAATAAAAAACAAAGCAGGGATTGATAAACTTGAAGAAGATTGAAACAGATTTTAATTGTGGTTTTGGAAAACTTGTTGACCTAACAGTTTTTCAATGTTCATTTTTGTTGTTTGTAATCAACGATGATGTGTTGGAGACATGAAGCTGTGATTTTGTCTTTGAAAGGTAATTTCTCAAGTATCATAGCGTAACTGTCATTAGCCCGGGACCAGGCTCCGCAGTGGGGGAAAAAGGCAAAAATCGGGGTCAAATAGGAAAAATATCGGCGAAAGAAGCGAGACGAGCGGTGGCCTGGGGAGGGGGAAAGGCCGGCGCCACATTTTCCCCTCCTCAGACTACCTCTCGGCTCGCTTCGCTCGCCGATTTTTTTCTTCTTTTTCCCCACTGCGGAGCCTGGTCGTAGGCTAAACTGGCATCGGTAAACAAAATGACCTCCCCAACAGTGATACTGCCCCTTAAAATAGACATTGAGAAATAGTTAGTAGAGCTTAAAGCCTGGGGCTCAAAGATTCATGTAATAAGAAAATTAATTTACGTCATAGCTTTTCAGTGAGTATATCTCAGTACGTATATAATTATACATACTCATTGTTCACCCCATGTAAGGGAATAATCCAGCACAGTCTTGGATTCTGGATTCCACGCTGTGGATTCCTGGTTCCAGGTACTGGATTCCAGTATTTTACTGTAAAACTGTAGAATTCTTGATTTCAATTGTTACTGGGATTCCAGATACCTTGATCTGTATTCCCGATTCCAAAACTCAGGATTCCGGATTCCATAAGCAAAATTTTCTGGGATTCCGGATTCGGTAACAGGGCTTAAAGTTTAAATTTGAGTTTGGGAGCACTTGTGCTACTAGATGTAAATTTTTGGGTGTACCGCCGAAATTTTAGGTGCACAGCGATTGGTAAAACACAGCCGATTTGCAACGCAGTAATACCTTTGCGATTTTTAATACCGATTTTCCTTTTTGACAGTACAGTTGTGACTAAAGAAAACTTACACTTGAAAAAAAAATTCAAAACTGAAAACAGTGAGTATGTCGAACTAGAATGAAAATTTATCTTTAATGAATTGTTTAAATGCGCAATGACTTGCATGTAACTGGGATATGAGTTAAAAACTTTCTTACCTGGAAAAAAAGGCTCTTAATCCGCACTGTTTTTGTTTTGATTGACCTTAAAACTGAACGTTCGACATGATCGTTCATTGCGCAAAAAGCACGTGTTTCGTTGGTAGCATATTTGCACGTGTCAGCGGCGTTTACTACAAAAGAGAAGAGTCTGGGATGGAGTAAAACATCGAAACGAAAATGAACAATCGAGTTTGTGGAATTCATTGGGAGAAAAGACGAATTAAACATACACAGATGAAAGGAAAACGAGGTAACTTATTAAAGCAATTTTCGTATGACCTTGAAATGAAAACGCGCGAACAAAACAGAAACAACAAACGAGTGTAAATAGAGTGATTTGATTGGTTTATCGAACGGATAGAAACGCGCGTGGCTTTTGGTTGGTTAAGCGAACACTCGGGCGAAAAAACTTCATTCCCGAGAACTTTCTGGAAATCAACCGATACTTCGCTTTCACGTCATACTGCAACACGATTGGCCAATCATACTATGCCTTCTCCATATTAGGGTTTCTTTGGCGGGAAAACGAAGAAGCCATGTTTTGATCTTTTCTTCCATTGGCTGATAAATCAAATAACGAACACTTACCGAGGTCAAGGTCATACGAAAATCACTCTATCTTGTAAAGTACATGTGCGAGCGGCACAAAAGAGGAGACGCGTGAGCGAACTTCGCCGCTTGCTTGCGCGGCTCGTTTCACTCGCCCACTGATGGATAGCTTGTTCGCAGGCTGGCGAAACATTTGAATACGCCTCTGCTTTAAATAAGTGACGAATTTTCAGTTTTACTCTAAAACTCTACAAAAAAAGACATTGGAATCAAAGAAAAACAGAAAGATAACGGCTTAGTTTCATTTAAAGTTACTCTACTACTTTGAGTGTTTGCCTGAAACTTTAATCAGCTTTAAGTCGTTTTCACATGACGTCACGGCGGCCATATTTGTGCACAAAACAATGAGTCAGCGGCCACATTTGTATACCAAAAAAATTCTGTGGGAATTGAACTGTTTTCACATGTTAAATTTACAAATTTGCTGACCACGTGACCAAAAACGATCTATAAACATAATTTAAAGGCAAATAAATTTACCCAATAAAACTCATGTAATCTCCACAGCCGTACAGTTAACAGGCTCATTTCTCTAACTGCATATGTACCTGTGTTAAAATAAACCTACTTGCAAAAATTCTATGTCAAGCTGTTATATATATTTTTTTATAATTAACTATCGAATCATGTCAATCTGTGGTGAAATTGATCAGCAGAGCCTTAATATCAGCATGACACCCCTCTCTTTAAATTGTGAGGAATACAGTGGAATTCTGACGTTTGGAAACGTCATTTTACGCCCTTCCATGTTATTTATTTATTCTTTTATTTATTTATTTACAGATTTAGCATAACAAACAAGTTGGCGACTCAGACGTATTATACGTTTTAAAGAAGCAATAGGTCACTATTTAAATCACCTACGAGTTTAACCCACCCGCAATTTATAATTTATAGGCAGCTGAGTAGAAATTCCATGGACTTGTTTGCCGTTCCTGGATAAGCACTGTTCTTTTGCCGTAGTTTTCCGCGCTAATCCAGTGCTGTGTTACTTGGAAGGTTGGAAATGTGGGGTTTCCACTGTATAATAAATGCAATCTCTTGAGCAACAGTCAAGAAAATTGTTTGATGAACTCTTAGCTAAAGGTGCAACTACCGCAAAAGTTCTTTTAAAAATATCTACTTCGTATAACTACTGACCCTTCCCCAATATCAACTACTGCTATAATTTCTTTAAAATCTCCGCTATACGCTCTTCTCACGTATGGTAATATGCCCGTCTAACCTCGTTTTTGAGTAAAAAGTCCTTTGAAATGCTAATCAGACGACGTTTTCGTATCTGAATTTCAAAAGAATTTTTACCCGTAAACGAGGTTAGACGGGCATATTACCATAAGTGAGAAGAGCGTATTGGTCACGTTTTTGTAATGTATTTACAAAGTAAAATAATCTCTAAGATATAGTTTTCAGTTTCGTATAACTGTAATGCTCTATTACATGTGAAGTCTAAGAATAATGTCTGAAAGCCATTTTCAGAGCTGAATTACTTAGTTCTTTCTAACCAGAAGTATCAATAATATCCGAAATGATTCCTTGGAGTGCCGTGGCATGTTTAATCGCTTTCTGTGCAACGGTTTTTAGAGCTAATCATCAAGAATGTTGAGTGTGACATGAAGATAAAGCGGTTTTTGCGTCAACAGATTTAACCTCTTGCGGTGAAAGTCTGTTGGCTTCTGATACCTAAAAGAACATGTTAATCCGGTTAGCTTTGTTAATTGAAAGCTAGCAGATTCAGTAAAATACGAGCGGTCCTTCACTATCTTCAGAGACAGCCTTTTCCAGGGATTGAGATAGTGTGCAGTGCACAAAGAGAAGTTAGCAAAGATGGGGCGGCGAGAGGGGGATTTCGCGCCACTGTCCACAATCTAAACTTCTGGAACAGACTTTCTCAGGGATAATAGGATGCACAAAGTACGCGAGCGCGGGTGAAAATCGCCGCGAGACACAGGAGACACAGCAAAAATAGGAAAGGGAGAACTCGTTGGCGAGACAGAGGAAGAAGAGAAAACAAAGGTCTCTCATTTCTCTCCTTCCACCGCGTGTAGCCTGTCATCGCGGGCAGCGAATCTTACGCGCGCTCGCGTATTTCGTGAGCCCTAATGAGGGGCGAGTCGTAGTGCACGGAACCAGTAGACCCACAAAAAAATCAACAACTTCGCCGTTTATAAGCAAAGCCTGCCTACTTACAGTTCTATGCAGGCGGGACCCGGCTTGAACTCATCTTGTTCCATGAATGCGAAACATCTCGTACTCACGATGTCTTTTTTGGGTTTGTAGTGCTTGAATTCGAAAAATATCGCTGTACCTTCGAACGAAAGACAGAATAAAACAAAACAAAATTAATTATGAGGAAAAAAATTTTCTTACCATTTCAGCGTCTCGAAAGAAAGACACGTTCGTTAGCCTGGAATTAGCCTGCGTAGAAGGCGCTGGTTACGTATTGTGGTTAGGTTTTACGTTCTCTCTAGTACGCACGCGCGTCCACGAAATTTCTCCGTTCGCCCTTACAAAACCGCCGTCTGCTACGCAGGTTAACCTTGAATAGTTCCGTCGCAGCTTATTATCACTTTTACCTCTTGGAAGCTTTTCTATTGGTTTTTGAATCTCCACATCAAAACCAAAGTTGATGTATTTTCCATCTTTTCTGTTTGACATGGGTGTATCTTGGGGCGGGGTCACATTAACACTGTTAGCGTCTGCAGGAATGAAAAAAACCATGTAACAAGTCAGGCAGTCTCTCTTATTTCTGAGACGAGACGAGACTCCCTCGTTTCTGGTGTCTCGCGGTGAACCTCCACTAAAAAGAAAGACTGCTCACGCAGTCTCAGTCTCAGCCTCAGTCTCTCTCTGACACGGTCTAGTGAAGGTGAATATTTCAATTAAGCGCCTCTTATCAGGGACGGGATAGTTAAGGAAAAAAAATAGTTGGTGGAGAAAAGAAATGATCTGGTTATTTCAGCTTGCTTCCTTCACGGGCGCTTTCCCTTCACAGGTCAACGGAATTAAGGCTTTAGGTTCACTCTATTCTTGCTCAGAAGATAACATACCGGCCGGTGACAAAGACGAAAACGTTTTCCTGGCTGACAAAATTTCAAGCTCTATAGAATGGAAGCCCGCCACTTTTCTAGTAGAGGAACTGAGTTGAAACTTGCACGTAATTCACGCTCGTTTCACATGTACTATAACGAAAAACGCAGTATAACGCACACTTCACAATATCGCAATGTTCGCGTTTTCTATACATGATTGCAAATGTCAGTTGTCTAAGAAGCGAAAAGTTTTATCAGTACCTTTAACAGAGACAGTGATGAAAGGATTTAGGTAAACATGCGTATCTTTTAGACCGATCCGGTCTATTCGCACAACAAAACGATGAAATCCCTCTTCATATGGTATCCTTGGCAACAACGACCCTCCCTCGGCTGCAAAGCAACGAAAGCAATTCAGTTTCTTGTTGCAAAAGTTTAATCAGTGAAAGGAAATATAACTATTGGATGGGAAGATAAAAAATGTAACAAATAAATATATGTCAAGAAGTCCCTCGTTACTCTCGAGGATATTTCTCACTGGGAGAACGGTTTTGTATGTTAAGCAAGTGCCAAAATTACCTCTTCTTGATTATACATGCGTGGACGACACATTCGTTATCGACGTCCCCTCTTGTTTGGAATTTTGAAGAATTAGTCCTAGACGAACTGCTTTGTAAAGGCACGAGTAACTTAAAGTCAACGCATTCTGGCCAGTTTTGGAAACCAGCTAAAAACCAGTTTTCCTCTCGGGGTACAATGGCTAAACTTGTAAAAAAAAGGTAGCCATATTTTCCTGTTCATTCATTCGTGGATGAATACAACCACAAATAGTTTCAGTATAAGTATAAAGTAAGCTTACTTCTTTTCACTACGAACTCATGTGCTCACCTGCTGAGGTGACAAATTCACTTCCATTTTCCTCTCCATATCCTGCTATACCAGGTCCACTGTTAATACAAATAAAAATGGAGATAATATATTACATCTGGTATGATTTACCTGACATGGTAATTATTCCAGTAGAGAATCAGCGTTCAATTAGCGCGAGTATAAAGCCTTCCTTAGGGGTTAGCGGAAAGAAGAACTTAGAGGGTGGGGGAGGAGGTGGGAGGAGGGAAGACAGAGCTGAGGAAGTCGCTGTATCCCCGGCCTTCACTCTTCTCTCTTCCCTATTTCCTCCAGAAACGTCTGATACTCAGGCTAATGTTAAATGAATTTAATAATCACAAGTTAGTAATAAAGATGATGCAAAGTGTTAAATTTGGTACCCAGACACCAGGAGAAAAAAAGATGCACAGCCAAAAGAGTTCCAGTTGTCAGGGATATCGGATGAAACGCTGTCTTGAGTGTGAGATATACCTCTACAATGATAAAAAATGCTTAAAGAAATTCAAGCTGGAGTTCATAATTTTCATTGTTATTTTAATTTTGTCAATTTATGTGTAAGATTTAAAAAACTCATTCAGGGTATAGAGGATGTTACATGGCCACGTGGAGATACAAAATTTCTCTTCGAGTGTTAAAAAATATTTCGCGAGTGAGAGCAGTGAAAGAGTAAAATATTTTTTAACACAAGAAGAAAAATTTTGTATCTCCAAGTGGTCATGTAATGTTCTATTGATTACAGAAACACCAATGAAATACCAAACCATTTCACTTTAATATATTTTTTCTTGCTTTGCAAGGTGCAATTTATTATGTAGCCATAGGAACAGTGATCTTTTCATATGTGAAGATAACATGTTATTTTGACGTGCGAAGATATCATGTCCTCATGCGAAAGCTCAGGTATTAAATTATCAGTGCGGCTTGCACTCAGCAACATTGAACATGTACAGTATAGTGTAGGTCAGATAAATCAAAATAAGATTAAGCTAGGAAATCAATACCAGCGTCACACTGAAAAAGACAAAATTAATGCATATTCCATTTTTTAAATAATAAAGGATACAGAAAACAATATTATTTGAGGCAAACCTTGTTTTAGGCTCTTCTACTCTGATAGGAAATGGACCACTCCATCCATCATTTAAATTCCTTAACACTGCAAATTAGAGATAAGGTAAGTTCTGCATTTCTACATTAATATTATGTAACTTACATTTTTTGTATTTTACAATGTGACAAATAATTAATATACCAGGATAATCTTGTTATTTACCTACCGTCGCCAACTTTTTTGATATCATCCAGGGAGATTTCATCTTCTTTAGCCTGCAAAGTAAATAATCAGAAATTTAACTTTAAGGTATGCCACAGTTCTCTTTAAACTGTAAAAAAACGGTAAAATTTGAATGACTTAAAAGAAGACTTAAGCGGAAGTAGTATATCTATAGTTAATAATAACTACAACAACAACAGAAACTAACTCTTTTTATGCAAGTTTAGACTGACTCACCTATTGATGTATGGCAAGAAAAAGCTGTATATCTGTAGTTTATCAAGCTGTTCTGTTTACCTTTAGAATTCAAGAACTATTTCTACTGAATTTCATCAGTCTTGATTTCATTCTCTTTTGCTGTTAAGGGTGTTCATGTAGTATGGCAGCAAGGGTTTACCTGTGTAGACAGCAGTGTTTTGCTTCTTTTTTCTAAGCACACTGAAATTTTAAGCATCAACTTCTGCAACAGAAAATTTAATATTATACAAATAAAAATTTAAAATGTACATACATGTAAATATAAACATTAAAAAAATTTTGATACATTACTATTGACTGGCAAATTAAAATAGAGTTGTGGTGGTACTGAGTTGATACATTTAGATTGACCACTGTTGGGAGATTTAGAAACTGATGTTTCAAGCACTTATATTAGTCTAGTTCTTCAACAGGCATTGCAGGCCACTCTTTACTATATTATTGACTTGATTGCCAGGTAATTTGCTGATTTAAAATGGGCACATAAACCTCTCTGGATTTGGGCCATGCCCACAGAACAAGATTTTGGTAACTTAAAGAGGTGTCTTCAAATTTCATAACAGCATTGCATTATTTTTCAGAGGAAAGCCACACCCAGGGATCCCTGTGACCCACACTCACCCAGAATTCATAGACAACCTTCCCTGTCCCCCGTTTGAAGGACTATGGTGGGGATGAGCATTCTCTTTTTTGAAGCTTGCAATAATATTATAGTGCATTTTGAGCAATTTGGCATTACAGTTCTGTATTTCAAAATAAACTTGACACATAATTTGTGTACTGCCACAGTGTATAAAAGAAAAAATATGGGACATTGAGCTTATAATAATAATAATAATAATAATAATAATAATATTAATACTAATAATATTAATAATAGTAGTAATTATTATAATAATGTTGATATTATTAAATTACAGAATAAAGAGGGCTAGGTGCACGTAAAAAGTTCATTTCAAATAAGATGATTTATGCTTCAGCATATCTTGCCCTTCCTTTCTTTTTCAAGGAAGAAGACTGCATCCCCATGTAAATAACATGTAAATATTATTATATCCTTTACTTAACTTTAAATTCACATATTTTCATGACTCGCGTGCATTCACATCACAGTGTGTATTAAAAAATAATGGCAAATAATATATGTTTTAAGTTTTAAGTTTTTAAGTTTGCTAAAGAAGAATTGAAGAGAACACTGATAAAATATTATTGTGGCTAGAGAAAAAACCAAAAAAATAATTAGGCCAAATATGTAGTCAAGGAGAGCAACAATGCAGTTGTTCAATGTGCTCTCCTGAATTTAACAAAAGGCAAATTAAAATTTATAGGGATGGTGCAAAACAAGATTCAGACAACAGTATCAGGTGAGTTGATATCAAGAATATGCAGGTATATTATTCCAATCTGAATGATGTTTTTAGAAAATACTGGTTTAAACCAGTTTTTAGATAAAAATGATAATTAGATTATATTATATTGTGTTGCTGTGCTGTTTAAGAAAAGACCATATCACCAGTGAACATCTTACACAAAAAAAGGTATTTACACAAATTTCATCCTAAATTAGCTGCATAATTATTGTTTAGGCCCTTATTGATAAGAAAGTTTTCTCTGTGGTTATTCAATTGCAAAATTTATGTGTGTTTGCAATTTTTTTAAGAACAGAAAATTGTTGAGGTATGCACTGAAAAAGAAAATATTCCAAAGCTATTTTCAACTGATAGTCCAGAAAATTACTCTGAACCCTTGGATGATACTTCTTGAAAACCATGAGATATACAAGATGATCATCAATGCAAACTGGGTTCAGTATGAGAACAGCCTTAAGATATACGAACTTGGAAATATTTCTCTGCCCAGGGGAAGCTTTGCCTCTACTCCTATTTCAATTTTAGGGTTACTAAAGATTTTGTAACATGAGAGCAAATTTGGGTTGCTTTTTTATTTATTATAATCATTTTACTGAATGACCTGTATATCTATGTCAAGAAGTTACAATCATTTTTTTTTTTCATTTGAAAATGAGAAGCTTGTTGACACACAAATAAGCACCACAACAAAATTTGTACCAGATGTTACAAATTTCAATGTTGGGCTTATTCCAAGGGTGGAGTAACTATCTTGTGTCAGAACCTCAACATATATGATCTTCACTAAGATAAGGAGGTTTGCAGATACTCAAAATTTCAACATATCATCATCACTGTTGTACATTTACCTTTTGATCAGCTCCAAATGTGTTATTTCCTGCCGCACAATATTTTCCAATATCCCTAGCAAGACTTATAATAAAAAAAAAATACGTCTTGGCATTAAGTCAATTATCTAAATACTTGAAAGTATATGAATGTATGCTAAAATATAAAAGGCAAAATCTTTTAACGTAGGTTGATTCTCAATTTCCTCTGTCTCCGAGCCCTCAATCATGAATAATTTGGGCTAGGAGATAAAAAAAATTGAGAATGAAAAAGTTCTGCCCTATTTTAAATTTCCAAACATATTTTCCGCATACTAATTATTGTAAATTATGGTAAACAACCATGTGAATATTTCTGGAAGTTGGAAAATTTCATTAGTTTCTCTTTAAAAATTGATTATGTCAATTGTTTGCCATGGGAAACTCCCAACTGGCCAATCGGGGGACCTTGAGGCGGGACCAGGGGACTTGACAGGTCTAAGTTACTATGCTACGGTTACCACATGATACAGAATAGGAAAAATACAGCAACAAATATCACAAAGACTCTTATTTTAAAATCTTAGCCTTGTATTGCCTTCACGAATAGAAAAAGAAAAACATGCAAAAATAAAACCCTGAAACCCGTATTAAATCCTTATGAGATTTAGAGTTGGGTTGGAAGTTCAAAGACTAAAGAGCGAGGACTTTCTAGGTACTACTCACTCTCCCCTCAGGACTCGGCCCCGCCAACCCCTCCACAGCACCCCTTGATACCAGGTTGATCACAGTACATTTTTATACTGCATCCACAGCAATGTTTGCAAAAAAGATAGGCAGTTGTGTGAGTTTTTCCCTGGATTACATTTTATCCCCCTCTTGTTTCAGCTTCATTATCTCACATTTAAACAACCCCCCTCCCCCCATGCCTAAGGGGCATTCCTTTCCTACCTGCACCCCGTGAGGATGGTAGGTTTTTTCATAGAGGAGGGGAAGGGGAAAATTCCAATTTTTTCCTTTAAAGAAGTTGTCCAAATTTGGACCAAATTTGCAATAATTAAGCTTAAAATATTATTGTTTTTTTTTTATTGTTTACTATTATTGTGTGTGTTAGTGTTACAAACAGAGATAAAAATTCATGAATAATGGACAGTATGAAGCTGTGTGGGCATATCACCGTGGATATTTTAAAAATTATAAGTGTGAATTATAAAGAAGTTGGGGATTCAAATCTGTCAATGCTTTGAGTTTCATTTAAAACTATCGAAGATCTTATCACAAACTTTTAAGCACAAATTCTTGTAAATCTAGCTTGCATAAACGTACGAAAAAAACAAAAAACAACAACGACAACAAAAGATCACGAAAATAAAACGACACTGAGAGAGTACTGTCCATATCAAAATGAACGATAAAACTGCTTTTGGTAAAGTAACCAGGGAAATGGTCTTATGAAAACACTACAAACAAGTGTATTTAAGCTTAAGATAAAATTCAAAATAAACACACCTAGAATATTCATCAGCGGCTTCCACTAGCTGTCCCCAGGAATCGAAATCTCTTCCTTTCTCGAAGTAAACGCACCACTGATTTACTATCCTGGACTTTTCAGTCATTTTAACGGTTATGGTGCTACATAATTCATGGAAAACCGAAAAATCTTACAAATGTTTCAAGAGGGTTGCATTCGAATTTAGCTGAAAGATATCAGTTTGTAGAAGATCGTGTAGGTGTACATGAGGAAACCTACACAGCTGTCTTTTGTTTCGCGGGCGCGTAACTCATTGTTCTCTTGCAGTTGTCAGGCGATCGTCACCCGTGTAGAAGCTTCACATCAGCACTATCAGAAACATGGTTGTATGCCAGGAGGTCTTTGGCAAAACAGAAACCGGGGAAGATGTCATCAAATATACTATTCAAAATAACAAAGGCCTCGAGCTGGTTGTGATTTCTTGGGGAGCTACTTTAGTCTCACTAAAATGCCCTGACAGGTAGGTCTCAGCTTGCGTGACTGACTTGTTCGCTTGTTAAAATTCATCATCATACACCGTCAAATGAAAGCTTACTTGGCTCCGAGACTGAAGGGAATAAAATAAAAAAATGGCATTCCGATTCAGGGATGAAAAAAGAATTTCGTTAGTTGTTTTTCCTTAGCCTCGAAGAAGATGTAAGTCAAAACATGGGCTTAAATTAGAAATTGGCCTTTTGGACCAAACTCAAGTGTGAGGTTTGTTGTCTCGATCCGTTTTCTTTTCAGGCGTGTCCTAAAGAAAAACAAAAGAAAAAGTTATCACAAGGGGTGAAGGGATTTTTCATGTCTCGTCTTTTCAAGAATTGCTATAATTGGCCGGGTATTTTGAGGTTGCGATCTTCAATTAATAGCCCGTGAAACGTAATTTGGATAAATGTATGCATCCGCACAAGGAGCTCGTGACATTGTAGGTACGTGTTTCGAGAAGGCTCTTTGAATAAACATATATACCCATGAATCCATTACACTGAATATTTATTGTTCATGGTTTATACTTTCAAGTGAGAACAGCAGTTTTTTAGGTTGCTTTCGGTTTTTCTGGACTGATCTTTTGCATGTGGGTTCTGGATTACTGATGTTGAGATTTATAACCTCCCCCAACATAGCCCTCTCCAGGAAAAAGAAGGGAAAAACTAATGTGTTAAATAAATTAGATATCAGAAATATAGCAATTAAATGAATTTAAAAACTTGAATTAACCAAGCATAAGTGAACAATTAAGCAGACAATATGAATTTAAAGTTAAGAGTTCATGCATCTACATGTCATATTTTTAACATGGTAGAGCAGAAACGTTCAAGTGTCTGAAGAAAACACTGCATAACTGCAATGCAGGCAAATAAAAAATAGCTCCCCATAAATTCACAAAAATTTTCACATGAAAAGATTAAGGCTGGTTTGGTATCTAAAAGCAGGTTTTTTTTTCACAGTGTTTCACATGCCAAAATAAATCACATGTGTTTCACATGAACTGCACATATTATTTGTAATTCACAGGTTTGGCTCCCAGCAGTAAGTTTTGAGCCCCAACAGGACACACAAAAAACGTGAATTCCAGCTTGTCCTTTGGGCAGGCAGCTGTCATACATTTTGCTTGTCCAGGGCCACTTTTTACTCATCTTAGTTAACAATCTTGTTAGAGGATGACTTTCCTGAACCCTTGCCCACTGGTTAGTCCTTTAAGCCCTAAGATCAAAATTTGAATTCTCATGCGTTGTCCCCATTTTATTTACTACAGAAGTAGTGGGAAGAAGTTGATAAAATATCAAGCAAATTCATCTTGTGTGATTATGTCTGTAATTCTCATGACCACTCTATTTTACAAAGCATTGATATTACAAGGAGAAATTTGATGCTGATCATTCTTAGGGCTAATAAAGAGTTAAAAGCTACTTGCCCAGCAAGAAAATCTAGTCGTCCTGGACAACCAGATGGGGCTTTTTCAAGCCCTGCTGAAAAAAGCAAACAGCAATATTTGAATCTACATGCAACAAGGGATATTCTTATACATACACAGTAGTTATTATTGGGTCACTTTACTATAGCAGTGTTTTTAATTTCCAGGAATGGGAAGATAGATGATGTAGTTCTAGGATATGACAAACTAGAAGGTAAAATCACAGTTTGAAAAATGAACTCTTAGATGGTTTTATTTTAATATATAGATTTAGCCAGGGCTAAAAGCGAAGCTCTGGTTGTTTTGTAGGACTAAAAGGTCAAACTTCCTAGTTACACATTATTTTTATGGAGGAATTGTCGTATGTGCTTACCCAATATTTTGTCTCCTGTGTTTATGTTCGCTTTTATTTTTCACTGCCGCTTATTTTCACCTTGCTGGCTGCTAGCATTTCTCATTGCCTCACATCCGTTTTGAATTTTCATGTTTTTCTTCCTACAAAATTCGTCTCTTTTGTTTTTAATCACTTGCTCTAGCTCTTTCTCTCAAATAACGGCGAAAAAAACACGACTTTGTTGTTGTTTAATTTTTCTTTCAAAAGTCTTTTTCTTTCCAAATAAAACCTTGAGTTGCATTTGGGTTGCCATACCTGTTGATTGAATAATTTTACATTGGTATGCCTGTGGTGCAGACAAACGGTTGGGCGGGCCGGCGGTCGGTGTACGGTCATGTGATTACCAAATTTTCTCGGATGGGTAGTTTACCACATTTCTTTACCCATGGTACTCCGCTGTGCGTGCTTCGCATGCGACAGCTCCACTATTAAAATCTTGTTATCTTTTTTATTTTTTTGCCGTACAAAATTATGATAAAGAGTTTTTACTTTAATGTCTGATTTTAAATTAAGACTACTTGGAAAACCCGCCATCATTTGGATCAACTGTTGGAAGATTTGCTAACAGGATAGCTTATGGAAAATTCACACTTGATGGGAAAGAATACCAGCTGGCCATAAACAACCCACCCAATCACTTGCATGGGGGATTTAAAGGCTTTAGTAAGGTACACTTTATTTTTTTGCCCATCAAAAGCCAACAATTTATGATATATTTACTATGCAATACTGAATTTCAAGATTTATATAGTACATGTACACTGTATATGTTACAAGTTAAAATTAAACCTTGGTTGACTCTCAATTTCCTTTGTGTCCTAGCCCTGATTATTCATGAATTAGGGCAGTAGGAGACAAGGATATTGAAACTCAACCTAGGTTAAAAAATTTTAACCTAAAGTAATTTGTAATTAACTGTAATGGCCACCTAATTGACAACAATTAATTTTTTTTAGTTCTTTTGATGGTGGGACCATTAAAAAGATACGTGTACAGAGAAAAAGTCCTCACTTAGTTGGGTTGTTTGTTTATGTATTTTACTCGTAGCAAAACTGGCAAAGTAAAGTAAAGGACCAAAATGCGGTTGAATTTAAATATGTAAGCTGTGATGGAGATCAAGCCTACCCAGGTGAGCTGACGGCTGAGGTGGTGTACTGTCTCACAGATGACAATGAAGTCAAGCTGCATTACAAGGCTAGCACTAAAAGTCCCAGCATTCTCAACCTGACTAATCATGCCTACTTTAATTTGGCTGGACAGGTAATTATGCAAACAGGGTGCAAAGAATGTCAGTTATACAGCTTTGCCATTTGAGCAAGCTGCACTTATAAGCCTGCATATAATTAATTTTTTTATGTACTATCCCAAAAGTCATTTCAAATAGCCAAAATTTTTTTCGATGAGTAGCTAGGATTGATTACAGTTCGTCAGTGATTTGAATTCCCCACAAAAGACATCACTTGCCTGTTGTGCAAGTCAAGAAGTTAAGAACAGAATTCACTAAGCCCCAAAAGCAAAATCCACTAGCCCTGGGCTGTCGGACACCACTTCCTTTGCACGCTCAAAGTAATTTTTTATTTGCATTTTTTTTGTTCTGCTTAATTTTATCACCGATGAAGTCCACTAGCTATTTCCTTTGTTGTTGTGTTTAAGTTACTTCAGTTTACTTCTCACCGAAGCAGTAAGACAACCTTGGTACTGAAAAGTTAGACTGCAAGACTAGTAGTCTCTCTTTTTCTTCAAATTTAGTTAGGGGAGTGTCCGCTAAGGCGAGCGTAAGTCTAGGAAAAGATGATCAACATCAGATTTCTCTTTACATTTTATATTTATCGTCGCAGGTTGAACGTGATGTTTTGGATCATGTAGCTCAAATAAAGGCACCTTCTTACTTGCCTACAAATGATGTACAGATTCCAACAGGTACTTAACAAGAGTTGCGTTATAAACAGTGGTGGATCCAGGGGAGGGGCCCAGGGGGCTGGCCCCCCCCCCATCTCGGGGTCTGGATGACCAGGTACCCCCTTTGTCTGAAGGTCTGGATCTGCCACTGATACAAAAACCATAAAAAAAAATAAAAAACTCCTCTATACTTACCTGACAGTGTACATGTTAAGCCCCCTGGGTGTCATATGATTTGGAAATTGTCCTCAAATAAAATCAAACTGTACAACATATAGAACATAATTGTATAGATGGATTTTGCAGCTGACATGAGGTTTTATACATTAGATTTCCATGAACATTGAATTGTGGGATGAAAGTTTTGTATGTACAGTACTATGTAAATTTCAGAAGTTTTTTTTAAATTTCAGGTTTGAATCAAGTAACTGACAGTATCAACAAAGTTTTTTTACTGGCATTTCCTAAAATGTGACTCAGGAACTAAATTTGAGGTGACCGTTTTTCCTCAACATTATCTCACAGACAGATAAATCAAAATAACTAACATTACTAACTTGCGTAAATGTAAACTGAAAAAAACGTTTCTGACCAAAATAATGATTTATGAAAACTCATCATAATTACATTTTCATTCAGATATCTTTTTTTGTTTACAATGTCATTCAAAAAAGCTTCTTCCTAGCCGACCTCCAGGAAAAATGTCTTATTGAAACCCCAGTTACTTGTCAGATACTAACTTTACACACTTATATCTCAAGGTGAAATATGCTCAGTGTCAAGCCCAAATAGTGCATTTGATTTCTTAACGCCAAAGCCAATAGGGCAAGATATAGACAAGATTGGAGGCTATGACCACAACTTCTGTCTACCAAAAAGCAAGGAATATTGTGCAGAGTAAGTTATTTACTGTAAAATTCTGAAAATAAGCCCCTCCATGTATAAGCCCCCCAAACCGCGGTAACGCAAAAAACCCTCTGTTAAATCGCCCTTCCAAAAAATATAAGCCACCGGGGAATTTAGAAAGTTGCCTTCAAATACAAAGTAAAACAAAGCAAAAATGGTAAATTTACATCCAACTACAAGGCTAGTCCAATCGGTTCAAAACGCAAATTTCCCTCCATAGAAAAGCCCCTCTGAATATAAGCCCCTCCAAATATAAGCCCTTCAAAAAGGGCCTTTGAAAACTATAAGCCCCGGGGCTTATTTTCAGAATTTTACTGTAGTTAAGATAAGAAATTATCCCATGGTCAATGATCTTTTACCAGTGAAAGTTTTCAATCAACAGTTTACTGGCATCTAACTGTGCTTTTGAGCATATTAAATATTCCCCAAATAACATCCTCAGAAAATAAACATCAAACTTCACAAAAACAAATGAAATTCTTAGAATTTTAGCTGTGTTTTCACAATTCTTGTGAAATTTGTCATTCATGTTCTCCGACTACCACGTGAAATTTTCTTTGGTGTTATTACAGATAACTAATAATTACATCTTGCCCTTGAAAAATGTAACAAAACAGTGCAATATTCTTTAAAGTATTCTGGTACAAGGTTTTTGTCGACTGAAAATTAATATCACTCAATTTCCTGATGAATTTTGTCTTAATTCTTCAGAGTTTATCATCCCACCAGTGGCCGTGTAGTTACAATGTTTACCGATCAGCCAGGAGTACAGTTTTATACTGGTAATGGTCTGGATGGGTCACCAGGCAAAGGAGGTGTGTGTTATCCTAAGTACGGTGCATTCTGCTTGGAAGCACAGAATTACCCTGATGCAATTAACCAGGTCAGTTCAGTTTGATGTCAGTTGTGCAGAATAAGGGCTCGAAAAAACTTGAATTCCAGCTGTTATTTGAGCAAGTAGCTCTCACATTTTCCTTGACTGAGGCCACTTCTCGCTCATCGTAGTTAATGATTTAGTAAGAAGATGACCCTTAGACTATTGCCCATCAGGGCAAGTGAGCTTCCAAAGTTACTTGCTCAGCAAGAAAATCTACGTGTCCTGAAACTCTGTTTTATTGTTAAAAACACAGTAAAAAAACTGCATGTTTAACCATCTTTTAAGTGACCCCTAACTCTCTGCATAAGTGAACCAAAGTCCCAACAAACATCAACTAACAATATCCATATGTTGCAAAAGAAATTGAGTTAATAAAATGATGGTGAAAAAATGCTTTGATCTGTTAACAAACACTTCAACTAATTCTTTTGGATGACATATAATTACATGTGGTAATAACTGCATTTGGTCACATATAACTACAGTAATAAGGTCGCATCAGAAATAGCTCTGCACCATGAGGAAGAAATCTATTTTGTTGACAGTATCCATGGTTGTTTTATTTTGTTTTATCAACAGGACAATTTCCCAAGCCCTATTCTCCGCCCTGGTGAAGTCTACCAACAGGTTACAGTCTACAGATTTGGTGTCAAACCATAAAACACAAGCTGCAAAGAAACTACAAGCAAATTGTGGATAACTGACATTAACCAGATGGGTTTCTTGAGGGATGACGAGCTTTGTCATGAAAATAATAGGTTTACAAAAACATTTACAATTTAGTAGCTGTGGGTGCCCTAGGTAATAAAATTAATTTAATAAATTATTGTGTTTGGTTTTAAGTTCCTGCACCCCATGCATTTGTCTTCTAATAATTTAAAGTGTTATTTTATAGGGCCGAAACTGTGGTTACTTCTTTGTGTTGACTGTCTTAGTTCCCCGTCTTTTCTTTCATTACAAAATCCTTGACTTGATGATATGGTATTTCATTTTGGTTCCACAGCCAAGAAACAGAAATTGTTGACCAGTTAAGTAAATTAAAATATCAGTGGGTATTTTATAGTCCGGGTTAGGGGGTGGAGATGTGTGACATGTCAGACTAGGTATTTTAAAATATTCTTCCTTTTATGCATAGTGGCTGTTGCTGGTATAACTTGTGAAATCTATTAAAATGATAATTATGCAATAAATTCTTTGCTCATGCAAATTTGTTTGGATAATTTTTGTTTGTCAGTCAAGCTAGGAAAAAATTAGTTGATGATTGAATTTGTTGGGCTTTAAAAAAGTGAATGCCAGTTTGTCCTTTCGCAGTTGTTTATACATGTACGCCTATTTTAGTTTTTTTTTCTTATCAACTTCGAAGACAACTTCCTTGGGCCACCCTTGCCAGTGAGCATGAAATTTATTCTAATAAAGTTACCTGATCAGCAGCAGAAAAAAATGAACACCACATTTTTCCATACATCTAGCTAGTGAACCGCAGACATATTTCTGGTCGTTGCTTCTCTGCAAAAATTTGTTTTTTGGAGGGAGAGAAGTGACGACAGATTATACATCTGCGGTTTGCAGGCTACCATACATCCAGTCTGTTCAGAGTAGATTCTGTAAGAAAGGACTTTTCTTTGCCAAAAGAAATGAACCATAAAATCAATTAAATTCTGTGAACTTTCCCCAAGTACTTGCTATCCCCCCCCGCTACATGCCTCCCCATGGCTGAAACAGCATGCTGGCAAAGCCTGGGTTTGATTCTGAAGTACAGTGGGGAGATTCTTAGAATCACGAGGTTGGTCTTGGTTAAACATTGAAGCTCTTCGGTGCCAAACCTGATGTAGGCTTGGTCTTGGCTGTGGGTGTCTTGTGCACCTGTTATTCTTCCTACCTTGGAGAATCGCAGGCACATCAAAACACCCACCAAACATAAACCTTAGCAATACTGGTAGGCTTGGATTTGAAGTTTGACATTGACCCAGGCCATGATGTCTTCAACAGTGAGGACTAATAGTTTCAAAGGGTTTGTAAATAATTTAGCAAAATTCAAGACTTTTTCCAAAACGGTAACAGCTTTAAAATGACCTCGAAAATGAAGAAACCAGCTTTCCCACGATGAAGTACAAACCACCATACTATGACCACTGATCATGAGCAATGCTGATATAAGAGACTTCCAAAACTGCTAATTCTGTGATTGAAAACAAAAATAAAGACTTCTTCTTTCCTATTTTTCGTGTCTTTACCTCAATTTTCCAGACTTTCAAGGTCTCAAAAACTGATTTGCAAATTTTACGACTAACATTGTCAACAATTAAGGACTCTGTACAAACCCTGATTTCAGTCAAATATAGTATTATTAATGTTTGCAACTTTGTTTTTTCACAGATTAATTAATTGCATTAATTTTACATTTGATCTTTGTGACCCTATTTCTATTTGCCTGGCTGTCAATAATGAATAAGTTTGCTTTGTACCTGTTCAACAACGGCTAATGATTTCAAATTCTTGGAACCCATAATGAATGCATTTGTTCCCAGTAATTTCGTCACCCACTTCTTGTAAATCCTTCATGTAATAACAAATGAATTAATAGAATAATATGAATCAATTGTGAGATATTTGTTTGTCTTTTTCCAGCTTTCAAATGTAGATGTCTTCATTGACATTGCTGATTCATGTGTGACAACAATGGCACATGCTATGAATCACTTTTTTCACCTTCCACATTCAGCGTGTGTGTACTTCTACACTAAAAATAGAATCTACCAAGAACCTGTTGCCTAACTAGCATGTGACCAAAATCTTTGCAATTGAAATTTCACTTTCTTCCCTGGGAAACCTTGAAAATATAAAGTGATTTTAAAAAGATTTTGCACATAACTTGCATGTTTTATGCTTTAAATTAACAAACACATAAAAGAATTAGTTGTTCACAGTGAACAAGAATTTTAAATTTCCAAACCTTTTTCTACTCTTTCTACTCATTTGAAAATGTCTTGCAAAACGTTTTTAAAACTTTTCTTGGCTGCTTTTTGTCTGATATGAATTTATGTTTACTACTGACAACAATAATTTACAGTGACTTTAACTTCAGTTAACTGAAATTGTTTTTCATTACTTCTTCTGTGAAAAGTCGCCGCCAAGTGTGGTCAAAGTGCCGGCTGCCACCGGCAGCCAGCTGCTATTTTAACCCTGCCCTAATTATGAGATCAATAAGTTTTCTTTTAACCATTTCCACTAAAGTTTACTCTTTGCTCCAACTTTACTTCCTCCTTCCTTCTTGTGCTTGACAAATGGCAAATCCCTGCCAACTTTAGCAAAAGATGAATTTATAATTTTAAGTTCATGATCTTTATAAAAGTTTCTGCCTTGACTTTTCAGTGATTTTTCCATCTCATCAAATAGCAGGGCAGCTTTGTAGCTGCACTTGGAAAAGATCCATGCCAGCTCTGGTATAAAATCTGGTCTGTTTTCAGGCATGTTCCTTTCCAAAACCTCCTCTTCAAATTTTTTGAACAGCTTCTGTGTGCCAGCTGAGGCCTGTGCAAATCCACGAGCAACCATGCAAAGTTCATTATCAGAGAACTTGTTCATGTTCCCTGAAACTACTTTCTCCATGCTGCTGTAGAAGTCAGAACTAGGTATTTCTGCCTTTCCAAAAGCCCAGGCCAACTGACTCAACTGATCACCTTGAAACAAGCTGAGATCTCTGGACAGAATTTCCTCCTGGCATATTTTAAAGAGATCTGCACTGACATTTCCAGATTTTGCAAAAGACCACAAAAGAAGTGACAGCTCATGATTCCTGAATTTAGAAATATCACGGAGATTGATCTCTTCCTCCACAAAATCAAAGATAGAATCCATCTTTGGACATTTTTTTGCAAAAGACCACACTAGCATTGCAAGTTCCCCATTGTCAAAATCATGAATCCCTCGTGCCAAGACTTCCTCACCTAATCTGTTAAACAAATCAAAGTTGTCTATTTGACCTGTCTGCGCTTTTGCCAAAGACCACAAGATCATTTTTATACCATGGTCCGTCTGATCCTCTACAGGTCGATCCTGAATCTCACGTTCAATAAATTCAAAAAGAATGTCACAATACATGTCTTTCTCAGTAAATGACCATAAAAATTGTGCTAGCTGCCTGCTGCTGAAGCTCTTTACATCCCTGTGCAAAATCTCTTCTTTGAATTTTTCAAAGAGTTCTTGACTTCCATTTCCAGTTTTTATGAAGGACCACAAAGCTCCCGATAGTCCTCGATTTTCAAAATCCTTTAAGTTGAGCTTGCCTTCTAGAATTCTTTGCTCCACATGGGTGAAGAATTGAGATCTCTTTATACCAAGAGATGCAAAACCATTGAGAAGTTGACAAACAGCTGGGGCCATGAAGGAATTTACATCTCGTTTCATGATTTCCTGTTCACATTCAGTAACAAACCACACGACATTTTCCCTTAACTTGCCCAAAGCCCATACAATGCTGGCCAGGTCCCTAGGTTTGCATTTTCCAAAATCAGCTGCTATGTTTGTGAGCAAATCAAGAAAGACATGATGTTGCTCTTTCAACATCTTCTTGGTAGATGTGAAATTTTTTTTTGGAGAACTTACAGCGAATTTGGCTAAGCGATGCAAAATAGTTATTCTATTCACTTGGGTCATACCTGGAGAGTTCTTGAAATGTTCATATAGATAAAGATGTCCATCAGCATTCTTGACAGCTGCAATATCCTTGGCCAGGTCCATAGGTGTTATTGAGTTGAAAGCACAAGGAACCACTGGTGTGGCCATTCTCAAGTTCTTTTTCACAGCCCCCTTAAAGTCTACTGTTTTATACAATGGCATGAATTTTCCTGTTAAACATCTTGTTTGCATAAAGTGGTTATATCTTCCTGACTGTTTGATAATAGCTGAACCAAGGCGATTAGATCGTGCGAGAACAGACATCGAAGCAATGACTCTTACTCTGTACATGTTCATTTTGAATTATATTGATTCAGGATAAACTGGATGTACAGCTTGAGAACTGTAAAAACAAATTGAGGATTAAGTAAGAACAGGGTAAAAACTTCACAATAAACTTAAATGACCAGTGTTATCAAGGTTTATGTACAAACTTTACTTCAAACAAACAAAACACATGGCACGTACATGCAGGGTTACTAAGTTTCTGAGATTCTACTTTCGTTTCTCAGGTTTATCATGGCGTTAAAAATATGCAAAGCTTTCATTTTAAGCTAGTACATACCTTAAGAAGCGTCACATTTGAAAGAGAGATTTGAAAAACTCGAGACGTCAGGCAAGTCAGAACATCAACCACGCCGCTTCGTCCGCCATCTTGCACGGTGGTCTTCATTAGGTTCCAGTCGGTCTCTGCCAGGTTTCCCACTATGCACCACGTCAGAAGCATAATAAAAGCTCGCTGTTTCCCGCCACGACGCCAAACGATTTGCGGCAGAGGTAAGCTGTTGGACTATGGTAAGTTGAAATACAACTTAATCTTTAACCTTTCATCAAAATGAACTTCTAAACTATTTGATGAGTATGAGGAGGCAGGCAAGTCGAATTTTAGTTTATAATGACTGTAGACAAGCTGATCTTCAAATTTAACTTACGCCGTTGTCAGTTTCTAGTTTCTTTCATGATCGTCACGCGATGCCTTTTGCTTTGTATTGTATGGCATTTACTTGCCGGATTGCCATCCGACCATAATGAAACTTTAAAATCTTTGCAATTCATACTCTCAATACTTGCCATCCTCGCACGAACGTAGTACAGTGTATAAACTAAACAATGTCGAAAGTTTAAGGATTAAAAATTAACCTCATTGTTTGTTTGTTTGTTTTGCAGGGAAATATATTATGCAAGTTTAATTGGTGAGTCATTATTGCTATCTTGTGGGAATTTGACTGGTCACCAAACGGGACACATCGATCCGATCACCTTGAACCAACATTCAACATTATTTTAAAACGCTTTCTGGATGTCCAAGGGGAGGGGGAGGTGCTCTGTGCATTGTAGGTCGGTGAGAACGTGTCTCTGGGACCCTTGCCCACACCATGTTTTGCATAAGTAACTCAGACGTGCTGTCTGGGAAGTTACAATAATAATTTCAAAAGACAAAGCAGAGGATGAGAGGAAAATTTACCAGTAAATTAAAACAGCACAAATAAATAGGCAATTACATAAAGTGAGAAAAATCAAGTATAAATGTTATTCAATATTTCAATGTATCCACATAAATATACATTAAATGTACGTGATAAATTTTATTACATATCTTTTGACTCCTCATCGGTCAAATCAAGTCAACTCCATTCTTCTTTTGTTGAATTTCCACTTATTATTATAACTTCCTACATAGCATATCTTGGACTGCCTGTGTGTTCAGCTGCTATTTACCTTCCCTGACTTGGTACCGACACTTCATACCCTATCCAGTCGTGGATTCAGTTCGCCAAGTAAGTGGGGGCCTGTTCATCCAGACCCTAAGAAAAGAAGGTGGCCTGGCCTCAAAAATAATTTTTCTTGGCCCTGCAGGCTTCAGTTTGGCCTTAAAATAAGGTGGAAGCTTTGGCCCCTTTCTGAGATTCATCACGCTATCCCAGATGGCGAACTGTGCAAATTTGATGTTCAATCCAGTGATCAATTTCCCATAAACAATGATAACCCATCAGACTAGACCAAGGACTCTGATTTCTATACCTTACCCTCGGATTAAACTGCTTGAAAGCCCAGTAGCACAAAACTATTTAGTTGTAGCATGTATTTAGCAGGTGTATTTATCATGAACCTTTACATCAACTTATTCAGCCATAATCCTATCTTGCTCATACATGTCAGTACCTCTCTGAGTCTACAAGTGTAGGTGCTATGAATAAACAGACTTGACCAACTTGTATTTGCTGCTCCAATTAGCTGTTTCTCCTTTGGAGACTACACGATATTTTCATTCAATCACTCCTTGCCGAAGTCCATAACCCACTGAGTGAGGAACTTCCATGTACGCTCATGTCACAGCATTTTTACTGACCAGTATCTTTTTAGAATGGTTTTGACACAAATTTAAGTCCCGTAAACCAGTCAGCAAAACCTATAAAAATGGTATTTTTGACCTTCGAATGACATCTGAGTCTTCCTATTTCATTTCTCATACTTTGATATGTGCTTACAGACAGAGCAGAGCTTTCATTTTGAGAAGAAAAAGTTCTCTAAAATGTATCTGAAAATAATCATGATCATGAAAATATGGTATGTTAAATAAAGCAGATACGTTATTGAAAAATTTATGTGTATGGATTCCATTACATTTTGGAATAAGTATAAGATCCTAGGGCAACTATCCACCCACCCCTCCCCTAACCAACATCAACACTAACTTCTTACTTAGGGCAAAATTTTGGCTTAGGAGAGGGGTAGGTAGGTAGTTTACTAGAATCAGAACAACCACTCAACCTTTTGGTAACTTTTCTGATTATAGTATAATTTGTTACTCTAGTGTATCAGAAACAGGATGATGTCAGGAGCATTATTTGGGCTGTGTTTTCATGTACTGACTGTTGGAAGTATGGTAAGAGCAAGACAATTAGAGTTTATTAGATATAAATATTTTTTTTCGAGCCTGCTAAGGAGACAGCGCTTTTATTTGACTTCACTTTAACAAATTAATATTACTGGTATGTGAATAACAGCTTTGTGATGGAGGCCAGTTAAAACGAATACGGGGGGTCTATATTTATCACCAGTCTCTCTAAGAACACCATCAGTGAAGATGCTCAAATGAGCTAGATGATGAGATAACATGCAGCGGATTTTTTGGGTTCTGCCTCTCCTCACCCCTCCCTCCATCAGGCATAGAAAGCTGCTTTCCCCACTCCACCCGTCTACAATTTGCTGCTCACGCAACAGCAGCTAAGTGCTTCATGCATATCTTTATCCTCAACAGTTTGGAACGCTGTTGCTCCTCATATCGTTCCTTTATTGATCTAGTGCTGAGTCCAGTCCATTCCTGTCTTTCCCCACTGGGAAAAGCGCGGGTCAAAAACTGACCAATAGCGCTTTTTATGACCAACTCAGGTGTTTCGCTTATCATTCGAACGGGCTTTTGTGCCTCATCAGTTCTCGGTTTGGTTGTCACTTTTGCGTACATTAGAAGAAACTCGCGAATCATGTTAACCTCGGCCAAATCTTTTGCTTGTTGTTTCTTTAAAGAAATACCTGGACAGGACATGGCGGACTGATTTCGCGCAGTTTTTCTGCCCGTTAAGTTTGGAACGTAACCCTTTGCGGTCGCTGGACGAATGATTCTCGTTTCTCCCGTTTGTAGCGTGAGTTTTCTTCTTTGTAAGATTGGAGAGCTTAAGCTTCTCTGAGAAACAGCACTAAAGCAAGACCTTGCAGAGGAAACTCTCCTGACTGGTGACATGTTTTGTTCTTGGCGTGCTGTTTTTCGCAATCGTGGTTTAAAGGCTTCGACGCGTTCACTTCCCGATTGTGACGTCGCTGCGCTCGGCAGACGCTCCCGATTTGCCGAAACCCTTCGACTGTTTGCCGATTTAACGCTTCGAGTCGTGTCGCTTCTCGCGGGTTCTTCTCTTTGAGTCTCGATCTCTTGATGTTGTTCCTCTGGAGTTTGTTCCACTAGGCTATGAATTGTGTCCACATTGTTCATCTCGTATCCCGAATCAGAGTTAAAAAACCGCACACTGCTTCTTCGACGCTGAATTATATTTTGCAAGGATTGTTTCAATTGAGGATCAGTTAAACTGTTCAGAACTTCTTTTTCCTTCGATGATATGTTTTCTTCCTTTGAATATGTTTCGCTATTTGTACTATTTCCCTTCCCACTGATGCTCAAAAACACGTCTTGGCTTTCGTTGTAATCATCATTTTCCAAATGATACTGTTGATCTTCACTTATCGTTTCCGGGGTGTGAATCTGAGGAGGAAGACAACCTTTCAAATGGTTGTTCGTCCCCGAATATTTCTCGACGTCAATTTCCAAGTTCTCCGTCAAGTTGCTTTCCACATTACTCATGTGTCGACTGTAAAAACTTTGCGGAATCTCGATTTGATTTTGTACTCTTTCTTTTCCTTTCATGGTATTTAAGGCAGCTTTTGTGCGGTATTTTTTCTCTGTCCCATTTCTGTTTACAGTTAAACTGTTGCTCAAAGATGAATTTAAGGACCTTCCAGCAGAAGCCCGCTCATTAGCCCCGCGATATTTTCCCGCTGAAAGTTGTCGGTATGCGCGCTCTTCATGAAAAGTCACACGTCCTTCGTTTTTGATCTGTTCGTGAAGACTTTTTATGATTAACTTCTTTTTAAAGAGTGAATCTTTCGCTTCTCCACACGCAATAATGTCATGTCTGCTAGCTTGTCGCAACGATTCCAAAATCGCCGCTTTTTTGACATTACTTGCAACCATTTTTTCGCTGTTTGAATGCAACTGGTCCACGACATTTCCTAAAGTGAAGCATTCTTCATGTTGTTTGAACTTGATGAGCGAATTATTTAACAGGACATTCATTGGCTTTATGGCCTTTCCTTGTGAAATCGTCATTTTCCAGAAAATGTCTTTGTCAAGAAGACATTTGTGAAAACCAAGATGTTTTTTTACTTCCAACTTCCTGTAAACGACCCTCTAGTTAGAAGCTGAACATTATCTCGCGAGTTTACGAGGCAACTTGTTGTTCGCCAATGTTTATACTGGACCTTGTTGCTAACTTCGATAGAAAAACAAAGCGACGGATTGTGGTGGAAATGTCGTCAAACAAACATCACACATTAAGACAGGAATATTGTCCATTAAGTTCTTCTTTTCGTACTTGGTCTAGATTTAATCTTAAGAGTGTGGTCGAGAAACCTTGGTTAAAATTGCCCAAACTTTAAAGCCAGTTGATATGAAAATAAGCCTCTGCTTTCCTTGGAGTGTTCTGCCTAATTGGAAATCATTTGCACTTTTTATTCCAGATCGGAGATTAGCACCTAATTGTTTGTAAGATGTCATTGGCCAGTTTTGTACATAATGCCTTTGTTTAGCTATGGGACAATTTTTGAAAGCGTTGATTCTTTTAGTCTCTTGTTTTCGTCTGTGTTCTAATAAAGCACCGTATTGTCTGTTGAATTTAGCTCAGTTCCTTTCAATTTTCTTCGATCGAATGAGAAAGCTGTGGCTCTTTCCCGATTAAGTCAAAATGAACTATTTCGTAAGTGAGGCCAGATGCACGATTCCCTATTTGAATAAAAGGGCTTGCCACAAAGGCCCTTTAACGCTTGGATTAACATTCTAGCCCGTTAAACAAACATAGTTAAGAAAAGCTAACAAAAAGACTCTACGCTAATTGGTCCCCTTTGTTGGCCGTGTGATGGTTCAAAACGTGTTCATCATCGTTTTTAAGACTTCAGCTGAAAGGAGGTCACGTTTATGCAATGAATAAGCAGTGAAAAACGATTATGGGACGTATTAGACACATTAAAGTGAGGGTGATGGCTTTGGATTAAAATATTTAACCAGGAATCATGTTTGTTTATCCTTGAAGTTTATTCGTTTTGTTCGAAAATGTCGCTGGTGCCGGAACACTTTAACATAGCGCATATATGCTAAATGAGGTCAAAACTTTGGGATACGAAGCCAATGCAAGTTTTAAACTTCTTCTGGAACTTTGATCACGCTAATAAATCATAAACTGGCATCAGGAGTTTTGAGGTCACGTGACTACTTATTATTCTCTTTAAACAGGGAACACCTTTGTGCAACGGATGTATATTTTTGACCCAATGTTGAACCAACGCGTTTGTTTAGGCATTGAAAAAAACATCATGTTAAAACAAATGTAAAGAAGTGCAATGCCGCGTCAACATCGCCATAACATTGTTTGTGTTTTTAAAGTATCAAAGTCATTTGAAAGAGTCGCTCGTTTTATCTTTAATACATGCGCGCCCCCACGCAAAGTCTGATTTCTGTTTTGCTCTTTTGTTTTTGAAAGTTTTTTTTTTAAAAACTGATTTTGTTGTCTCATTTTCCCATCGCTAAAAGTGGTTGTTTCGAAAATTGTTCACAGTTCCCGACCAGTGTTTTCTCTTCATGTTCCTTACAGGTGAAAATTTTGAACCAGTTAGGTAGTGTTTTTTGTACCTTTTCCTGTAAAGGAAGTCTTGACGGCCTTGAAAAGAACCTCTGTGCTATTCTAAGTCTGTTTGCTTTTATGTGGTGCTGTTTCTTGTGCTACACAAGGTTAAAAAAGCGTAAACTCTTTGTGATATCTAGCTCTTTTAATTTTCGGTGACACTAAACGTACCCGCGGAGGAACTACAGTCTCTTGTATTTAAAAGAGGATGCCATGTAAATGGTATTGAGCAACATTTCTCTCGGTGATGCTGTGTCGTTTTTTTTTGCTTTAAGTTATACTGCGCTACGCTGCTATGAGTTTGTTATCTTCGTGAGTTTTCTTTTTCACTGAGAGGCACTTTCGTGTACTACTGTTTGTTTTTCAATATCTTATTAAGTAAAAGTAATGAAATTGTTAAGTTTTGCTGACTTTAGGCGCCAGCAAAATTATGGGCGCGAAATGCCGCCGGCTGTCATTATGTTGATATTAGGTTTTTGTTAGCCCACTTGAGCCTAAATTAATTGTTTGCGCTTCTTAAACACTTTGTTTAATTGTAGGAGCGCTTTTGTTTGCTGGGATTTAGGACACAAAAGCGTAAAAATCTCTAGAGTGGCGTGTAGCGTGTCTTGCTATGTTAACTAGAACCCTCATGTTTCTTTGATTTGCTCCGTGGTAACGCCAAACAAACACGATGTTCAGTTAAAAAGCGTAGACCACACTAACGGTGTACAGTTCTTGAGAAAGTGATTACTAAGAGGCTGTGTTGATTTTTCTTGTGATTAACCGTTATCTATTTGGGCGATAACTGTTTCACGCTTTTTTGATCGATTGGCGAGTCTGTACACATTTAAATGTCTTCAGACACTTTGGAACGTACGCTGAGTTTGGGAGATTCGCGAGAGGAAAGAAGTCTTACAGAATGGCTAGATTTGAAAGGTCGCGTAGAGGAGGAGAAGTTCCGCGAGCTTAGTGCTGACTTAGAAAGAAGAAGAACGTGGAAGTTTCTTAAGCACGCAGAAGAAGAGAGGAAAATTGTCCTGGAACTGAATAACTTGCAGCGTGAGAGACTTCGGTTTGAACGCGAGAAACAACTCCGGCAGCGAAATTCGTTCTCCACTTCTCGCGAAAGACGCCGATCGATTTGTATGGAGAAAAAATCGCTTACCGAAGTTGGCACGAAACTACCAGTGAATGACAAGTCTTTCGGTGCGTCTGCTTCGCTGGCATTTGATCCCACCATCAGGAAAAGTTCCCGTCGACAAAGATCAAGCAAACAACAACTTACAAACTATCGTTCTCTGAGGAAGGCTTGTAAGGACTTAAGCACCTTTAATGTTTTTCCTTACATCGAAGAAGATGATGTACAACGCTTTCACAAGCATTGTAAGTCCGCCTCGAGAAGCGAGTGTCGGCGATGGGGGGCTGCTTGGTTTTATGCCAAAAAGGAGCAATACTTAGCAGAAGATGGAAAGAGGAGATGGACATCGCTGCTGTTGAAATTTGAAAAGGAGAAAATGCGCGTACTGGGTGAAAAAGGAGTTGCTTTTCTGGATGATGGGTTGGATGGGAAATGCTTGATGGATGATAAAAATAAGTTCGGCAGAAAGACTTCTAATGAAAAAGATAATGAACAAAGTTTTAATGGAGCAAAGTGTCTATCGTCTTCACTCTACCAAGGAAAAGATAGCGCTGACAATTCCAGTGAAAACTTCGAACTTTCAAAAAAAGATAAGTTAACTTTCCACAAGGCCTTTGGCAGAGTTTCCACAGAAAGAGTAGATCTTGCCGACGAGGAAAATTCAACTTTTCATAAAGCTCATGGTGTTCTACTAGAGGAAAACGAAAACAGCGCTTCCAGCGTTTTACGACCAGCACCAACGACAGACTTCCTCAAAGAAGACCAGAAACCGCGAGGAGGAGAGGTACATGAAACGGCTGATAATGACCCTGTTGATTGCAAAAGTAACAAAAGTTTGTTGAAAGGAGCTGGAAAAAATAACAGCCTGAAACGTTCCAAGAGAATCCGCATACACGCTACAGAGGGGAGAGAAGATTACAACGGAAATGTGTTGCCACGCATGCCTGCAATTCCTGAACTGCAAGTGGATGAAAGCAGCTCAAATTCCTCGATTGAAAAAATGAACAACCTTCCCAGGCGAAAACGCGGTGTTTTTTTGCCCAGCTTGGCAAATAACTAAAATGATTTGCATTTTCTCTTGTTTTAAATGAGAACGTCTTGAGAGTTTGTATTCTCCAAACTACGAAGGCGATATTGGACAAAAGAACAAAGGTTTTGTAAAAGGAAAATATCCGTTTTTTGTGTTTTGTTTGTTGCTTTCCGTCGCAAAATATAACAGTGAAATAAAATAAAACAATATTGCTTTCCGGAAACAAGATGTTGAAATTGGCCTCATTCATTGGTAGGGCAACAGTCGTCTAGTTTGTAGTTAGTTAATCATGTTAATAATTAACAATTATTTTTCGAGCCCGAATGGGCTCTGAGTCAATAGCCCATGCGGCCAAAAAATATGCTAAAATAAGGAACGTTTTGAAAATTTTCGAAAGTGACAGCTAACCCGAAGGACATGAAAAACTAGAAAAGGTCATGGAAAAAAGTCATGGAATTTGTTGACCTCAAAAGAATATGAACCCCGCCCCACCCACAATACCTTCAGGCATTGTCGCCTACGCTAGTGTGCGCTTTCTATTCGCCATTTTAGAAAAGAGACGAAAACTGTTACTGGGGACAGAGAAAAATTAGCCTATAGTTGACCGGCGTGCCCAGAAGTCTTTGCGAAGGTCAACTCGACCCAGTTTTCTCGTTTCTGATGTGGCGAATCAAGCTCGTTCCCAGGGTTCTCTCCTACCCGTCCCTACGGGGCCGGAATGCCCACGTTCGAAATAGAGAGTTTTACATCCGAGTTTACCGCGAACCTGTAACCGCGGTTTGCGGTTACCCGTTTGCGGTTCGACGTTCAAACATTATTCGATTTAGATTCGAGGTGGATTAAAGAAGCCATTCTAGGTTTATTTTTCCATTTAGAAATAGAAGAAATATCAATCAGTGAAATAAAATAAATTTACGGTAACATTGGGTTATTTATCAGCAAAGAGCTGTAAATTCTTACATTAGTTCTTCTTGCAAATTTACGGCCGCCATTTTGAATCAGCAGCCATGAATGGCACTTGTTTTCAAGATCCAATAAGATTTATCAAATTTAGCCATTTCGCCCGAAGTTGTGCCTCTGTTAATGGATGAAGACTTGCTCCACAAGATTTTTGTATCATTACGTGGGATAAAACAAGAATTATACGCTAAAAGCTTTCAGGGAAATGACATACGTGAAAACCTACCTCCCCACGTTGAAAACGCACGTCGTAAACCTCAAACGTGACGCGAAAGACTTGTCACGTGACCTCCAGCGGTTAGACGTTCGCGGTAAAAAACTCGGATCTAAAGGGCCCGTTTACATGGAGTGGGGGACCCCGGTCTAGTGGGGTTGGTTTGTTTTGTTTTCACGCTCTGAGGGACACAAAACAAAAGAAACCTGCCCCACTAGACCGGGGTCCCCCACTCCATGTAAACAGGGTCTAAAACTCTCTAATATTGAAATTCTAACCTAACTCCTAGGCTTTCTGGTAATTTTTCTACATTTGGTTTTGTTTTCTTTGTGCTCAAGTCTCTTCTGGGAATTGCGAGACAATGGAGTCGTGAAAAATTTGCAATTTTGACCCTATAAAAGCCTGTTCGAAGTCATGTTAGAATATTATAATATATCGAACGTGTCGAGAACGTGGGCTATGGAGAATCCTTCTTAAATCAGCTGTATATCGTTTATTGAAATAGAAAATTACTCCTGATAAAGAAAAGGGTGATAATTAGTTTGAACCGATGTCAATTAACTATGGTTGTTCGTGACCATGAATGCACATGTTGCTCCAGAAGGAAAAAAAAAACAACAACAAATTGCTTTCAGTTAAACGGTTTATTAAATCATATCTAAGGGGATGATTTTTGAAGACTTTACTTTCCTTTTCTTCTCAATTTCCACGAAGAAAATAGTGATATTTTAAAGTTTATTGTACGGTTTGTTTTGGTGAAATTAATCCACCACATATCATAAATGTCAAGGTCAATGAAATAACACAGTCGAATAAATAGTGGGAGTTAAAAGAAGTCGAACATTTTTCGTATTTGATGATACCTTTAACACTGAAGCAGAAAGCAGAGAAAACTGACATAAAGACGTCAGACATTTGAAGTGCTCGAATTAAATTTTCTTTATGTTCACTCTGAAGTTGTCTCTACAGTCATTCAACTCAAAAGCTGTACTTTTGTTTTAAAGGCAAACAGTCAAAATGTATACCATTGACAATTGTCTCAGCCATTATCAACTTCATCTTACTTTTTGAGTTCTCGCCTCGTCTCGCGGCGTCTTATTATAGGTTTTTGAACAGTTTTTTTATCTTCCGTTTTTCTTGCTAAAGTAATATCCCGTTCTCATTGTTTGGACGGCTTTGCTGTGTCTTTCCCTCGTTTGATAGGTGACGTGTTAGTCATTAGCAATTTGCTGTGAATGTTTATCTCAAGAAGCGTGGACAATAGCCGAAAGAAAATATTGACAGTGGGGCAGATGTTTCGGAAATGGCTTTGTTAATTGGTTTTGAGCAAACTGTTTTGAGTTGGAATTTTTGAGCAACACACTCTCCAATCCGTGCTAGGACAAGAAAGGGTGCCGCAGACCAGCGTGAAACGTGTGTAGTTTAAAACGTGCTGATCAAAAAAGCGTGCGTTGCAGTCAGAAAGCGTGCGTTAATAACGAAAGAAGTGTGAATTGAGTTCCACGTGTAAAGGTGATGTTACACGGCGATTCGCAACGGCGATTTTTAGCCCAACACAGCGTTACAACATTGTTGCGACATTGTTTCGAATGGTCACAACATTGTTCCAACATTGCAACGCTGTGTCGCGCTTTTCGGGAAAAAATCGTTCGATTTGAGATCAATTGTCCCTCCTAGGATTTTCGAACATCTACAAAATGGTATAATTACCCATTTTTAACGAATTTTGGCCCTAAAAAGGCCACCTAGAAGGCCGCTGAAATTTTCGAGAAGGTTTTTTTGTTTACCAGGATTTCATTTACCTTTAAACTAAAATACGTTCAAAACATGGGAACTAATGATGTGTAGCTAAAATGATTATCTAACATCAAAAAAAAATTTATACCTTTTTCAATTCTTCTTTTAAAAAAAAAACAGACTATCTTTTCATTCTTCTTCAAATATTGTGCTTCTGTTTGTTGAAAACGTGTCGCTCCCGAATAAAATTATACTGTCAAATGGCGCCGACAGTGACACCAGTTTGAAAAAAAAAACAGTCAGAACGTTTTTCAGAGCTCAAACTTATTTGTAAAATTAACAGCGTATTGGTAATATCTTTCATTCAACAGTGAGAGTGGCAAGCTTAGTTTTGGAGAACTGTGCTTAGCTTTTGCAAATTTCTTTTTTTTTTTTCAACGACCGCGGTTTCACTCGCCTAAGGCAAGTTTATCATTTATCTTCATTTGTTCAGCGAAGGTGCGATTGCAAACGTACTCGTGTCAGTTCATCAGCTTGCTCATGGTGTTGGAAAATTCATGTTTTTGCCGCAGTGTCGAACTTTACAGATGACAGCCCAATACTAATTTTTATATGTATTTTCTGCATAAATATAGAGGAACATAAGAAGTCTGGGACACGCGAGCATGCAGTCGGGCTAAGATAGCATCTTTTAATTTCCTGTAAATCCGCAAAGATATTTTGATGAAGTCTTTCCAATAACCATGTGATAAAACCGAAGTTTTCGGGTATAACAACAAGTTTTCAGTACGCGGCAACAGGAAGTGACACAAAACTGACTGATTTTCATTTACTTGCCATGTTCTGTTTTTATTTATTAATTAATTTCAACAATTTTACTTTATAACTATAGTATTATTTTGCTTAATTTACAGTCTCTAATAGATATTTTCAGTCTTCTTGAAAACTTTGCCAGATAAGGATATAAAGATTAATGTTGTCTTTTTGTCATGTCTCTATGCGGTTAAATTGACCCGGACGGCTAACCTTGTACTTAAATCTACTGTAAAATTTCATGTCCACAAATAAATTTTTTTGTGGTGGCCGCGCTTCTAAATTTGTTTTGATAATATATCTTTTTTCAGCGCATGCACACCTCTCTCTGTTAAAGGCATATTGTCAATTTTAGAACTGGAATCTAAGATCTTCAGATGCTTGCAGAAATTCTATTCGACAATAAACCGTAAATGCGTTATTTATAGAGTAATATTTGCTTTGACAGAGCACGTCGTTCGTTGAATTGGTATTGGCTTGAAACTTTTAATAGGTATAACCGAAAAATTAACTGTCTACTTGTAAATCTCACTGAACATTAAACAGGGCAACATCGAGGGCTTTATGATATATTTTTGTTTTTTCATCGATTATGGGTATTGGGAATTAAGTTGTATTTAACTTACAAAAGTTGTTTTTCTTAGTTTCGTATAAAAATAAATTTGCGTCATTCAGTATTCTTTTCTTATTCCGCCTAGTCCTAGTTTTGTTTGAATACCTCCTCAAGTCAATTGATCTTGAAAACAAAAGTTCACTATTTTTTTCGACAGCAACTGTTAGCTACACTATACCATTCTTTTTTTGAAGAACAAAACTACCATAGGGCTTAATGGTCCCTTTACCTTGTGACAAAAAATCTCAGCTTGAAACGCGGAACCAACGAACAGCTCTGAATCCGTAGCGTAGATAGTTTTCTGCATCGAGAAAATGTCTTTATATCCTGGGCTATCATCGAGCGCCATTACGTTGTCGGATGAGTTCAGTCACTTGTGCGGTTTGGTGACTCGTGATTAGTTCCATCAATTTTAAATCAGTTCTCTATAGTGAGGAGCAAATGAATAAGCTAAACGTCTTCCAGATGCTGTAAAACCAAACATTGCATTTTGTTGTCGACTTCCGCGTTTGCGTTCTCCTTTCATTTAGCTTTAGGGTCTTGAAATCTCGCTAAATTTTGAGTAACATTTATTTGCGACATCTCAAGCTCACAACTCTGTTCCTCGCTGAGCTATCTCTTACTTCTCCTACCTCGAATGCTTTTCATCCGTATTAACTCTTGTCAACATTTGCTTCTTTTCTTTATATTTTAGGATCCCAATCAGCATTAGTTTATGTAAGAAGGATGTTGCTCTCTAATGTTCATCACGTCCTCGTCACTTTCGTTGCCAATGTCTGGTGCAGGCCTCGATACATTACCTTGGCTTAATAAGTTGTCTGCTTGTAATAGTGGAGTCGGATTTGACGGTCTTTCCAAAACAAACTCGTCCGCAGAATAGCTTTGGTTTTCCTCGAGACTTTTTGCTCGAGCGAGTGATTCCCAGCTGTGGCTACGTGCCTGGGTAGATCTTCCATAGGACGCGCGAGGTCTCTCGCGTTCTCTAGGCCGCGCGATTTTCGGCGTGCTGTAAATCTCGGGAACCTTGGGCCTTCCCATTGACGCAGGTTCTTCAGTTGCTCTTAATTCCTTCCCTTTTAAAAGTGTTGGCCTGCTGAGTACGATGTCTTCGTCTAACCTTGGCCTTCTTTGAGTCCGATGCGATTCTAAAGCAGTAACATCAAGCGAAGCATGATCGAGCATTTTTCCGCCCAAAGGCGGAAGTCTCTTGAGTTTGTCACTGTTTATGTTTAAAACTGGATTTATCGGCTTCTTAAGGAGGCGTTCCTGCTCTACAATCAGCCGCAAAACTGCGGTCGATTCTTCGTCGTTAAATTTACTCCTTGGTGGAAATCTTCGGCAATTTTCAGTTCTGTTATCCATGTTTCTTCTCGTTCACCCTACAAGGCATTCCTTTCTGACTTCTTTGCCTCTTTACTCTTGTCTGCCTCCTACATGAGAGAGATTTATGACTTTAATTTAGAGAGAAAACATCAGAGGAAGACATCGCATTGTAACATAAGACTATAGAATATTTGAGCAGTGTTTTGTTTTGTGTAGAATCTGAAAGCAAAACTAAATCTACGTCCGAAACTAAGTATTGGTTAAGCACATTATTTAAACAAGAGACCTTAATCTCGCTTATATTAATCTAGCGTTGTTTTTAGCCTAACACTTCCTCTGCTTGTTGAGGCGTCTCCAAAGCTTGGCAGAGAAATAAAGGCAATAAAAACCAGTGCATTCGACTGTCAAACAAATGGATGATTTCTAACAAAATTGTCGATATTTAAAATCGAAGGTCAAGTGATTTCAGTTTTTCTTGCGGAAATCGCCTCTTTCGTCACTGCATGACAACCTGTTTTGTTAAGTCGCCATGAAAGTCGAACGTTCTCCAGCTTTGCGCATCCTAAATTGCGCAACGACTTTTTTTGTCGCTGAGACAATTATTTTCCATTTGCGAAGCTTTCTTAGTCACGTTAACTCGTGCATACGTAACCTACCATTTACTTCGTTAGCTCGCATTGCGGTCGCTTCGAGTTGCGTATATTTTTCTAAATCTCGGTCTGTTTTCTTTCTTTGAAGCGTAGTCGCTGACTACCGAATATTTCTCATAATAAACTGGCTGCAATAGGGAGCATTAATTGTTATGATTTGTGGCAAACTCCATAGGCTTTCACGCTCTTTTTAGATTGAGGCCACCCCTCAATGTTGTTACAAAACAATTGGCCCAACAGGTGCATGAGAAAGGTGACAATATTTTTTTGTTCGTTGCCATGGAATCAAAACACTGCTATTAGCCCTTGCTTCTTCAAGCACAAATATTGTCTTCCATTTTAAGTTTTAAGCTGGTTTAATGTACGCATTCACTAGCGATTCACACTCTTTCAATGAAAGGCGATGAAGGTGCTCTCATTCGCATGGTTGTATCCAAAACTGTCTTGAGAAAATAAAATGGCATTTACATATTATGCCATTTATATAGGCTTGCCTACCGTGTGTCAACAACTTATACAGCTCCGCAAATTCGGAGTTTCTAAGTCAATTGTTTGATCACCAAACATCGACGTCCATTAACTGACTAAGGTGGTAAGCTACTGGAAACAGTAGACGAAAACTGTCAAACATGTCGTACTTAGATTTTCAGAAAACAAAGCAACCAATTTTAATTTATTTTTATCGTTTGTCTAATAAAGTGCGCTTTACTCATAAGTTTGCGTTATTCATAGTCCGTGGCTTCCGAAAAAGGAAAATATATTGCGCATTTTTCCTCGCTTTAGACTTTATTTTCCCTCACGAACAATACGTTTTCTTCTTTTGGAAGCATTGCATTTCGTAAATCCGTCGATTAACTAAATGTGGCGGCAAGGAATCGAACTATATGATGAGTATACGCGTTCTAATATAAAGAGGATGCTCGATCCATTTTTTCATTATAGTTTAAAGCCTTTTTTGGTTCCGCTGATTTCGGCCAACAGTTTATTAAAAACCATCGTTTTGTCCGTATTTCTTAAAAGAAACTTTTGAACCTGTCAGATGGAAATTTTTTTTGATACTATTAGCGGATCAAAAACAAATAAAAAGAATCTCATTTATGGCACTTGAAAGGCAAAGTGGACATTCCATCCTTCGTTCAGTCTCAGAATGGCTTTGGAATGGCCCAACATGCAAATTTTCAGATTTTTCAAATTTCTAGAAGGTTTAAAGTATTCTGTTTGACAGCACAATACAGCTTGGTTTCTATTCAAGTTAAGCTGTACCTAGTGAAAGATCTGGAACCAAAACAATCAAAACAATTTCTTTACCTCCAACAGAGCTTTGTCTGCGGCCCGCAGTTATCCGAAGTACAAAGCTGGAAGCCGAAATTCTTCTTGTTCTTCTTGAAATTATTCTCGTTGTGTTTCTGTGATTGTTCTATTCTTTTTATCACCGCAATCCTACACGTGTGTTGCTCCAGTCGTTTTAGCTGCGATTTTTCACGCTCGAAAGTGTTCCCTGATCCAACTATCGCTTTCAAGTGTGTTTCGATATAACCGGAAGAAAGAAAATAACGAGGCTTTTCAAATTATTTTAAGGAGGAACAATCATACGAATAGCCTATGACAAAACACGAAACTGTAAAGTTTCGCCTCACTTCCGTCAATTAATTCTCACAGCTTTGGAGTTTCCCAAACAAATTTATCGAGGTGCCTTAGGAAGTCTTGCTTGATGATTACCTTGAAAAAAAACGCGAGCGTTTCACTTCAATAATTCGCCATAGACAACTCCCTTAGATGCCTTTTAAGCCTATTTTTAATAAAAACTGACCCAATATCGACCCTGCGCGCTTTTTTTCTTTTTCTGCATTGAAATTCGTCCTTACTATTCCATTAATTAAGGACTTAAGGCTGACAGAAAATAGAAAACAAACGAAATATATTGTGTTGTGTCCGCAAGTATGCCTTGAGGGTCACTTAAGTAGTTTATTAAACAAAAAAGAGCGAGCTTTTAGCCGCAGGTGAAGAGATGCTCAGATAGGGGTTGCACGCGTGTCTTTGTTACATCACGAAATGGGCACTTAGAACATTTTAAACGTGCGTGCGAAGAAAAAGTTCTTTGAAAAGCCTGAAAGGTCGGGAGGTGGGAAGTAAAATGGTAGCTCTTGTTAATTCTTTTGAAAATTTATGGATTCATCTTGATTCAGTTAGCGCACAAGTTTAGTCGAGGCGCGTATAATTTGGTGGCTCAAAGAGCTATGGCATTAGAATTAAGCAAAAATGAAAATTCCTAATAACAAGAATTTAATAGGTATCGTGAATAAATTTGCTTCATTTCTAGTATATCTATTGTCTATGCAAAACTTAAGTTTATGTGTAAATCCAGCTGACTTTTAGAGTAGCCCTCGTTTGGCTTTACAAGTCAATAACATATAACGCTAACGAGAAAATCCAAAGCAGCGAACTTAATTAAACTCATGAGAGAAAAAGCTCTTTCATTTGCCAAATCAGTATAAGTAAAGTTTAGTGGCAAATGACCTGCTGGTACGTCGCTTAAAAACTAAGGTCAGGTCCACACGAATCCAGACATTTTGAAACCCCAAATTGTTTACCCGGATTTGTGTTAGACTTTCTAAAAATCCTTCCTGGTTGTTTATGCCATTTTAAAGGATTTTTCATACCCATTTGGTGTGAAATCGCCGGTGGAAAATTCTACCGGTGACGTCATGACAATTGACCAATAGGACAGTGAGTGATCAGTTTCACGCCGCTCCCGACATAGCATATGTCAATCATTTTTTTCCCGCGTGAATTTATAATATGATTCAAATCCATTCAGGCGAAACAAGTCGACCTCGAGACTTCGTCGCTCAGCGGTCGCTTCGCTCACTTTTAAGATTTTTTGAGACGCAGAATTGTAGAAAGTCTACGTTCGTGCGAACGAGGCCTTAAAGTGGTTTCGTTTCAAAAAGCTACGGTTTCGGTGAGCAGATCCACTGCTTTCGAGTGTACGAAAGACTGATTCGTGTAAAATTATATGCGGTTTTAAAAAACATCAGGATTTGTGTGGACGCGGCCTAAAGATGCGGACGAGACTTAACGAGGTGGGGTGGGGAGGGGATTTCGACCTCCCCAACCATTTTGTCGCAAAGTTTAACGCTTATCTCTTGTTCCTCGATAGATTTCGCGAGACGTGACTAAAGATAATTAAACTTCCTCGCCTATTTTTAATTACAGTCATGTGTGCTTTCGTGTATATCCGTTAGCCCCAGGATTAGTGTTAATAAATTTTTTCGTTTTGGTTTTGAAGTTTCCGGGTTATAGTTAAGAACTTTGACTATTTGGAAATTTCTCCAGAGATGAAAATTTGATCAGTCGTTGATGACAAAGACGGTTAAAAGTCCTGGCGAATCACCCGTCTTTTCTGATCTTTTTTCAGTGGAAAAAAGAAGGTATTGGCGGTCCCATTGCTTTGGGAATACAATCATCCTTCAGTTTATAAATGCTTTTCCAACTTATCCACTATACTCAGTCTTTCGTTGTTGTTTTTTTTATAATTTGGTTTTCCAGTTGTTCTGATAATCGTGCAGTATGCTGAATCTCATTTCTGCATGTCCTGTTTAAACCATTTCGCAAAATACGAGAGAGTAAGGTCACTGGTATCAAATAACGTGACTTTTATACGAATGAAAAGAGAGAAACAAATTGTAATGAAAATAAAGACGGACTATTCAAGTAGTTAAAATGTGACCAATTTTTTTGTACTTCTTTTTGAGCTGTCACTTTTGGAAAAATCTAAAAACTTGTTCATTTTTTGAAAGAATACGGGAAACAAAAAAAGCTATGAAAAGTGATTTCCCTGAAATCATTTATTGTTTACCCAGTGAAAGCAGCTCAGTCAGTCAGCACACAGCTACCAAGATAAAGTAGTAAAGGAGAGACTCAATAAAGGGAATTTTACTCTGTCAACAGTTAGAATATTTTTTACAGTGTAATTAAAACAATACTAGACTTGTTCATAAGGAACAGATGAGGGAGAAATACAAAAAAATAAAGACATATCAGTATATTAGAATAAAACAACGGAGGTAAAATTTCACTACTGAAGCTCAATAAGGGGTTTTTGAAGGTGTTTCCTTTACGTAAATAGTAAACGAAGATCAATATCAGCCTTAAAACAGTATAGGCTCTGCGAGTGACTATGCAAGGAAATATGAAAACACAGCAGTTTTTTCTCCTTACTGTGGCACTGCATAAAATTGTTTTCTTTCTTTCAGCAAAATGAGCAGTTTAGTCAAAACTACGAACAATGAATTTACGCGAGGAGTTTTTAGACAAAGGATTTTAAAGTCGGGAAAATTAGTGACTTAAAGAAATTATACCCTTATCAGACTGCGAACTTAAAATTTTAAATCATGTTTAAGTAGAGAAAAGCTATTTGGCGATTCACTTTTAATAATTCAGACTCCATAGACGTTTTTATAACATCATGCATGCCTTAGAGCTCGCTTACTGACAATTTTATTTCAAATCATGTCATTAAAACCATTTTATGTAAATGTATAGCGTTTTCGCCAAATCTCTTTTCTTTCTGTTAAAAATAGTGATAATGACTTTTAAAAATGCAAATTGCTTTAAAACCTGCCATTCGAAGATCGAAATAGAGCCAAGAAATCACAAAATAACGTAATTGTGCAATCTTATTTCCTATTAATTCGTATGAAATAAACGCTAATAGCTAAGGTATTTGAAGGTTATCTGTTGAACAACGACAGAAAACTTTCACCCGTAAAAATGATCCTTCTTACCTTTGAAACGAGTCTTGCTGCAGAATACGTACACACCAAGTGAACACTAAGGATGCCTTGAAAAGTTTGGATATAAAATTGACGTATTTGGCTAAATAATTTACGATGTGTAGCGTTTGCCTAATCTGATAACAAGAACGTGCTGATATTGGACGGTTTCTCGGAAGTTGAAACTGATGAGTAATTTAGCTGTCAGTTTCTAAACTGAACGCGTACGTTGTAAAACACAGATTTCTGTGTTTCATGATATATGAGTTACTCAGGTGTCAATGGAGAGTATTGACCAGCCTCAGGTAGAGTTTGAGGTGAAAACCAGTATTCGATTGTCTTGGTAACAGAATTACATCTGAAAAATTAGTGCTTTTAAAAGACTTCCACGTCACTCTCGTCGCTGCCACAGTTGATAATTTGGCATAAACGTAATCTTGACGATATGCATTTTTTGAAAAAAAAAAAAAAAAATGAGCGATCGTCGACGAACGTTGAGCAGATTATATTTGAAGCCATCTCCTTAAGTTGTTATTCTTACAAACATGTTTAACCAAAAGGCAATGCAAATAAACGTAAGTGACATTTTTACCTCTTCTGAATGAAAGTGACATTTTTAGCTTTCTCGAAGCCAAGAATATTTGGTTTCCATGTTGTAGGATGCTAAAAGCAAACTTTCCAGCAATTAGATGTAAATTGCTGGAAATGTAAGCGTGCATGTTTAGTAATGATATTGTCTTAAAACTGGTTGTTTGTTTTCGTTTGGGAAAACTATTTATTATCCAAAATTCTGTACATGTCAACATCACTAATGTCCTCTTCTGTAATTACTTAATTTTGCTTAAAATAAAGGGAACATTTCCAGCTTAATTTCGTTTGTTAATGTTTCTATTTCTGCCTTCCAAACGACTTGAATAACGCATAACAGCGTTGATAGCGACAATTAAAAGTAGCCGAAGTGTGTGTGAGTGTGTGTGTGTTTTTTAAAACGAAACTGCGTAACTGCTGTTTTGCTGTGGGAGAGGCGTACCCGAGGGAGAAGGGGGACGGGGGAAGTCGGTCGGAGGGGAGGGGCTCGGTTGGTGGGTTTCTTTTTGTTACCACGGGAATGGCGTTGTGGTGCACGTACGCGATGAAAATAAGTGCCACCTGCCGCCAGAAATCATTCAAAGGAAAAATTCATTGTAGACCATATACGTAATTCAGTTTTCTTAGGATTTTCGGATGCAATTGAAATTAACCTGGAAATTTGTCTATGTTTTAGCTGTTTAGTGAATCATTCATGACGTATTTTGGTTCGCCCAAGGGTACGTTTGATTGACCATTTTTCGCAATAGCAATTAGAGAACTACTGAACGCTAAAAGTTGCTTGTTAGATAGTGTAATTTGCCAAACAGAAACACAATATCCTGCTGTATGTAGTTTTCCACTGACTTCAAAAACCCAACGGTAGCGTTCCATTTTTGTAATATTTCTAGAATAATTAACCAATGCATTGTTAGGGATATGATCGCGTCCATTTTGTACAATTCCGAACTGTTGGGCCGGGCGAAGTGTATTGTACAGCTCAAAGCTCCTCCTCTTAACAATAAATGAAGATGTTCTTAATACAAGGTACAAATTTCTGTACAAGTTTAGCCTTCATTTATCCGCAGATTCTGTTATCGCATCATTATATAAAGTTACCCGGCGAACGTTAGGCGAAATCCTGTGATATTTATCATTCATGCAATGAAACCTTGGTAGTACGTTTTAAGAGTGCTTTTCTCTTTTAAACTGAAAATCAAATCTGAAAATTTTCTTACAGTGTTATTTTGGTTAATTTTCTTACGTCATAGAAGTGTTATTCTGCGCAAAAACAACTAAAATTCGGCAAATGGTTGTGCTTCTTCTTGTATTTCATCTTTTTGGGATGACGTTTAGAAATATTTACTTGCCGTACATTGTGGTAAGTCATATCATGATCTAACAATAGTAAAGGTGCGAAGGGAATATTTCTGGATTTCGTTTATTTTAAACCAGTTTGTTTGGCCTGTTTTGTGATACCAGCTTTATCTCTTCTACCAGTTATCTATAGATGCAAAATATACTTCAGTACAGGAAACTATAATGCCTGTCAACCTTATGGCTAATCATGACTGAATTTTGGCACTGTTAAATTCCTTTAGCTTTCAGTTTAATATAGACACCGAATGGTAAACGGTTGTTGATTATCTTATCTTAGACTACAGTGTATTGAGTAACAAATTAAATATAGATTATACAAGTATTTCGCGAAATTGTTGTTCAAATATTTTGATGGGAAGTTGTTTCTCCAGCTATTGCGAGTTAGGAGGTTAAGCGGTGAACTAACTCTCAATATCACTTGTTAAAAGGCAAGCAGTCGCCAAGTCACCAATATATTTAACCTAGTCTATTGGCTGATTTAAAAAACATATATAAGTATATATTTGTGTATTTGTCTTTGTTGATGATCAACGGCTTTGCTAAAAACTGTCAGGTTTTAATTGTTGCAGAACCACAACTCGAATGAAAAAAAAAACTAAAACAACAACAAGAACAAAGTTTTTGCTTTGATAAGTATTCAGTACAGCGAAAACCCAGGAACGAGCTCCGACGCCTGTGCGAAGTTGTGATCATTATAATTAAGACCCAAATTTGCGCAAATTTTAGAAAGATCCACATGAACGTATACCGCTGTCCAGCACGGCGCCCATTTGACGTTGCGTTTCTTTGTTTCAGCTGATAAATCATAGAACTTACTAAACGTTTGTAATGATGCGGAGAATCGAAGAACCATAGAAAGCTTATTACCGCCTTCTGCCGCTATTGCCATAATTAGTGAATCCTCCATCGAAAGGAAAGAAATAAAATCGTCCACTGACAGAAATCTCATCGCAGTAAAACCGACGTCTATTTTTTTTTTAAATTTTCCTTTTGTTTTTGACTCAGGGTTCGGCAGTTAAAAAGGCGACATAGAAACTTCTTAAAGGCAATAAATTAACCTAGATATAAACTTAATATGCATGTCCTGGTCTCTTTACCTCGTTGATGATGTTGTTGTTAAATCCTGTGTAAGATCATAGTACTGTATGTATTTACAAAATAGCTTCGAAGGTTAATTTCCCTAAAGGTGATTGAAACGACGATTCTCGAACGAAGATAATTCGTTCATCAACGAAATAACATAGTCACCAGCCTTTTGAATTACAGCTGTAGTGTGTAATTAAGTTTAATCCCTCGCAAAACCGCGTAAAAAGTGTTTACCGCCAAATTAAATTTGGTGCTGGCGATTGTTTTATTCTTTAATTTATTTTTAGTTTTCATTTTTTCTTTAAACAGAACGTTATTTAAAAAGATATCCCTTAACAAGAAAGCCGTTTAAATTTGTGGCTCCCATTTTTCCAGTTACCTTTTACCATGCCGCGATAGATAGATTATTCCAGAGTGTCCATTGCCGAAAAACGATCTGTCGCTTCCTTTGTGGCGAACATGTAAAACGAAAATTTATTGTTTTCATTGCCGGCTTCACTTGCAACAGAGACGCATATTAACACCTTGCTCTGTTTCTATTGCTTGCTGTTTGTCTCACTGGACATTTAAAACTGTTGACATGGAGGTGGGCTTTTAATTTGCATTTTTAATCTCGATATGTAGCTTTAACAGGGATGATAAGAATTTATTGAACTACCAAGCACAACTGACTTTGTCTTCAAGTACCCAAAGTCCAAATAATACGGTTTAATATTTTTTGTCCGCCTTGCTAGTATGGAATACTTACTATTAATATCGTTTGTATGGAGTACTTTTCCCTCTTCGTCCAATTTTTTCGTCGATGCAAAAAGGCGCATACTGGGAAAGACCCATAACTTGTTATGGTTGAGGAATCTTTATCAGCTATGACTGTAGGTAATTTGCGGTTGCTCTTTGAATGCAACTTCTATCTTGCGAGAAGAGAGTATTTTCCGTGACAAATGAGCTACCCTTTGAGCTTGAAGTATAAAACAATTCAGTGGTAAAACTTCCTCAGACACTTTGCTAAATAGGTAATTTACATAGGACAGCTTCGATGAATAGCTGTCATGCATATTGATCACTTTCCACTGGTTACACTTACTAGGTTTTTTCAGCCATCGTCATATAACAAAACTTTCCCGCAAATAGAAACTAACGCAAAATTTCATCCGCAAGAAATATGTTTCACGGTCAAAAGTGTATAGTTTCTTAAATTTACCACTCAGTACCAGAGTCGATTAGGATGCTTAGGAGAATGAATAAGACTCTGGAATAGAACAATTGACATGAGCGAGATATGGTAATAAAATGTATCAACTTTCAATTAGTGTTAGTCTAAACCGACAACGATGTCTTATTTTTTATGTTTAATTTGACTCCCATATACGCAAGAAGTTTGAATGCAATTACTTAGAACCGCATAAATATAAAAACCGCTCATTTGCAAACTTACTTCTATTTGCAAACTTTAACTTCACAGCCCTAGTTGTGTGTGTCTTAAAAGCTTGGCAAATAAGCTGCAGATCGCTTACAATCTTTTTCGGAATTCATTCAGTCATATTCAACTCCTAAAATCTGTCTTATACATTTAAAAAGTCTTGGGATTATTATTTTCACCGTTATCTCTTCTTGTCAATTTAACAGTACAAAAGTCACGACCATTCCGAACACTTTTATCACGTTCGTTAATACATTTTTTTAAATTCAAAACACCACGAAAATAAAGTCATCGCTGCGCATGGGCACCCGCGCACTTGCACAGGATACCCAATATGCGGACAAAGTCGTCATCAAGATCATTTTCAAAAACTACTGTTTTGCTCTGTGCGTGGGTCGCCATCACAGCACTCCATGTCAACCGAATTCTTTAAAATAAACTGGTCAAACAAACACATAAGAAACGAAAACACAGCTAGCAAACTTTTTAACGTTGGCCCATTTTCCCAGCAAACTTTGCTATTTATAGTCGATGGGATTATTTATACTGAAAATATAAAACCAAGCTGTTTTCTTTCGAACGCGGAAAAAATTCCTGAGGTATTGTATAGTAGTGCTACATTACTCATCAGATCACAGGATGTCCTCGATGAAAACGCCGAACTCTTTTATTTTAATTCACATTTCTACTCTTTAGGCCCAATACTTACCCACATACTACAAATTAACTAGACTGATCACAATACATTTCCTTAAAGGTTTCTGAGAAACTGCCCACCTACCTCTCCCCTAAGCTAACATGAACACTTACTTCTTACTTCGGGCAAAATGTTGGCTTAGGGGAGGGGTAGGTGGGCAGTTTCCCACAAACCTAAATTGATCCAAAAGAACAATGCATTTTACCTTAAGGTATCAGTTTGTCAATTCTCCTATTCGTTTCTCTAGATGATGTTTTGATTTTGTTAGAAGAAAATTGATGTTGGCCACTCTTGACACTCTTGGGTTAACTCCTAAACCACATATGGCGGTATCATGGTCACCTTAACTTTTCAATCTGTAGTCGAAATTCTATGGTTCTACCCATTAAAATGAAAGCTCTTTAGTAGAACATTTGCATAGACTTTTTTGAATGAAAAATAAAAATAAAAATTTGAATTATTTTGTGCATTTTTTTATTTGACCGCCGTGATTAAGAGTGAAAGGTTCAATCTTATTTTGTCATTTATCTTTTAATACCTAACTGTAATTAAGAAGAGAATTCTAAGGGCTATCACTAGTAGTAATCAAGTTTTTAATTTACGCCTTTTATCGCAATCATACCGTTTATTACTCGACCAACTGTCAGGCGTTTCTATGACAATACTGTTGGTCACGCAATTTTGGGCATCGAAGCACTTTAAATTAAAATGAAATCTCCGTGTCCGCTTATAAGTTTCATATGATGGCGAGAAGAGCATAAGAGACGCGACAATGTGTGAAGGGTGAACTGGGATTAAATCTGGTTGTATTTAGATAATTTTGAAAAAGTGGCGGCCGGTATTTTTTAACTTTATCGCTGCTTTTCTCAACTGTCTAGCTGATGTAACACTTAAGTGCAACTTTTTCTACTTTGAGGAAATTACTCTTCGCACAATTCACAATTTACAAGCACTGTACCATATTATCTCCTGATATTACGCAAGAATTTTAACCAGGCCTGGTGAAACTTAACCTTCTACCTTTTTTTCTTTCGTTCTTCTTTTTTTTTTGGATATATCTTCCCATAGGGTCATTGTTAATTTTTATGTCATTCTCTTCAATATATTGCGGCATGGCTTAATAACACGGAGCTCCGACTCAATCTTAGCTACGGCATTTCCTTCGCTGTCCAGATTGCTACAAAAATTCATGTTTTGAAACAGTTCTTGCTGCTCTCAGTTAAACTACTGATTTTTCGGACAAATGGATGAAGCGAAAAACATCTGGCGACTTAATTTTACACTTCCACAGCGATTAATCATGTTCGCAATATTTGAATTTAAGGAAGTTTTTGTCAGATTTGAATTCTCTTGTAAACTTCCTTTCTCCTTGCTTCTGTGGTTTGACTCATAAAGAGAGATTTTAATTACATTCGGCGGTGATTGCTTTTGCAGGTAAAATTCGATAGGCGTTTCTTTCACTGCAGGCTAAAGTTTATCAGTTAGTGTATTGCATAGCTACTGCTGAAGATGTTTTAAACATCTTACTGTTTATGGAACCCCTCTTTTTTCTTCAAGTGTTTCGTGTCAAACATTACTAATTTGTAGAAAATACTTGCTCTAAAGATACATTCTTTGTAGGCTTTTTACCTTTTCATTAACTCAAAACGGTTTCTGTATTACGCCGGATGGTTAACGCGATTTTGCGGTAGTGAATGCAAACAAATGGGTCACCGTTCCGAAAAATTAGCAGCTTTTGATAAGTGTAAATATGTGGTCTTTTTACAATAACGAGAACTATTTTACTGAATCAAAAGAATTAATCGTGTGTCATGTCTGTACCTTCATAAGCAAAATACATCATCAGCAAGTATACAGATTCTCCCTTTCCATATCCTACCTCCTTCTTTAGTATTGATAGTCTTCCATTGGACTGTTTGAAAATTTAAATCGAATTTAAAAAGCTGTTTCAGGTCATAATTTTTTTTGGTCCTTTAAAATTTTCTCTCATGCCGCCATAAACTGGTGCCAACGGATTGTTGAAATATGTCAAATTAATCCAATATATTTTTCTTGGGCAATTAGCGGTACTAGTTTTTTCGCAGTAGATCAACAGTTGGCAATTTATAAGAGGGTCCATTTCCATGATAAAAATTGTCAAAATATCCATACTGCCAGGGCTGTTTTTCGGCTGGCTCAATACTTAGGTTATGTATCATATCATTCTCTTTCTCACAAATGAAATATGAAAGAATTGGAAATACTTGTAATAAAAGGGCCATGAATGTTAGTGGCCGTTTGTTTACCTTCACGCGTTGATTTTCATTACAACTCTACGACGCGAATTCGTCGAAATCAAACCTAACCCTTTAACACAAATGAGGGGGGTAGGGGTGGGGAGGGCCGTTTTTTTTACCGGTTGGGGTGCCCTAAGGGGTTCCTGCATCTAAGTTTTACTTTAAAAGTAACAACTGTTCTACAATTATGCTTCATTCAGTAGCTAGAACTAGTGGAATGCTCCCGTCATGTGACCACTTGGTTCAACCTGCCTGTTCGCATTTTCAGCTGATCATGACTGAGATTCGAAAGACATGATTTATAATTAGTTAGATTTACATGGTTCAGAATTCCTATACATTATAATTAGTTAGCTTTGTTATAATCTTATCATTGAATGCATAAATTTCAACAGAGAAGACTTCTGAACTTACACAGGCGTTTGTATGGACAAAGTTTACCGTTTATTAATAGGCCTTAGAGCGGTTTTCACTTGACTGTCGAAAGTAATTGGTTTTGGTTTTGGTTTTGGTTTTACTACGCCCTTTGGTTGGCTAGTGTATTTACTTTGGTCTTGGTTTTACGACAGTCAAGTGAAAACCGCTCTAACAGTATATGCAACTTACATTTTACACTGAAACTTGTGTGTCTGTACGTAAACTAGCTTTGCACGACTTTGTTTGTGTCTTTTTGATTCTAGGTCCATTGGAAATTCTATGATTTGATTGGCAGGGTAATTGTTGAACTATCGGGAAAAACGAGGCAATTCTTTCAAGCACCAAAGACAAGAAGATCAGATGATATGCCACCGCAAAGCAAGAGAGAGCTTATAAAAACGTAGGGAAGGTCAGTGCTTTGTCGTTTCTAACGCAAGCCTTAAACGGCCTTGTCAGTCCTTGATACTGTGTTGACTAAACTGTAGTGGAAAATATAGTACACGGGCTTATCTCACACACTTTTTATTAATACGTCTAATAAATTAAAAGTATGTAATGCCAAGACATGGATTATACACCTTTATCCAAGACTGTTGTAGCCGTATCTAAGAGTAATAATCAGTGAGAGTTAACGCGTATTTAAGAGTCGACTTAAAATAGAAGTTGTCGAGATGTTATTCTGACAAGTAATAAAACACGCTTTTCTGATTATCAAAAGAACAGTTCCATGAGACTCTGATACGTCAGGCAGTAAAATAGCATCGTTTTTCGAGCAGTTTAAAATGCTGCCTTACAAGACCACGCCAAGATTAGCGCTGACAGGTTAGGGCATAATAAGAACAGGGAACAGCGGAATATTTTGTTTGACCGCTAAGATAATTGAAAACGGTTCTTGAATAAAATGCTTGCATGTTATCGAAAGAAAGGTTTTTTGCTCTGTTGATTTGTTTCCCTCCAAAACAAAGTAAAAAGAGAGAGAGGTTGAGTTATCTTTCGTTGTACTCGAATTAAAATAATCAGTTTCTTACCTTGTTTGATTCTATGTTGAAACAAACGTGTTTCCGTTTCGGTGTTTTGAATCGGCGTTTCTGAGATTCCGTTGCCACGATAGTTTGTTACCCTCGCTGCATGCTAAGATATCAATCCAACTCACCAAGCAACTTGAGTTTTAGCAGAGAAAATAGTATACTTTTAAGCTGTTTTCCCAACAGCGAGCGGTCGTAGTCATTCAGTTTTGACAGGCAACACTATGAAAGACAAAGGCGAGAAGAGTGGCTTAAGCTCGAAACTTTCTTTCTGTTGACTTTTGCTGCGAGCTTTTATTAAAAACTCTATTTGCGATTGCTTTTGTGGAGGGATTCGAACAGGAATATTAATTGCGACTAAAACACACAATTATCACGCGCCAATGGCGAGGCGCGCCTGTCACCCATCAATAGCCTACTCTGAAACCGCCAAATCCCGGTGTTTTCTTAAGATTGTTGATTCAATTTACCACGTTCCCAATGTTGTGCCGAGGTTATGATTAACTTGCTTACGAGCTGTTCACTAGAGTTTGGGAACTTCACGTCAGGTTGGAAGTGAGTGTCAGAGACGGGATTTTGGCCTAGTTGAAGGGCACTTAAAAAACCTAAAAAATCCGCTTAGCCTGTTTCTTTACAGTTCGAGTTGAACAGCGTCTTGGGGTTACAGGCGAAAGTTGCTTACTGCTCAATCGCAGTTGGTTATAGTTGTGAATATGGAGAGCTCTAAAATTCCAATGCGAGGCAAAGTCAAGGACGCTGAGGCCGAAGCCTTACTTCGATTGCTTCGCCAGGAGAAGGAATATAGCGAAAGACTGTTAGCGCCGCAAATTCAGCAAAGAGTTCCTTTACCGGCAATAGGTAGCAGTGGTAATGATAATACAACGCAACAACCGCAGCTATGCGAGCAGGAAACTGTTGCAACATTTATAACGCAAACAGGAGAAAGTTCTGGCTTTCTTTACGATAATTACGAGAAAGAGTTGCTAAGTGATTCAAACTTTATATGGACACCGAAAACGGATGTGGACAACCAGCCGCGTGCTTCGTCTCACAAAGGTGTTTACGTTCCATCGTTTTCATGGAGGAACGAACAATGTTTCTCCTATCCACAGTTTGATCAGCCTCGGAAAAAGTCGAAGGCTCGGACGTTACCGCCGATTGAAATACCAGTATCACCATGCAGTGATCTTCCCGAGCGACCTACCTGTCCCAGACCGGGATCGCCGAAGTTTTGGGACGATTAACCCCGATATACTGAAAATCTACATGAGTTAGTCACTGGTTAGTCGCAGTAAAAATTCGCCCTCAGGCATCTGAAATAGCTTACTACCGGTAGCCGGGAGAAATTTACCATATGGAATCGATTTCCCGTTTACCGCCTGCCTTCCAACAGTTGCACACGATATTCGGGATTATGTTTCTAATACGGGCTTAGTGATCCCACATAGATCGTGGCCATGGTGGGTTTAATTGAGCAGTTGGAGCAGCTGGAGTAGTGGCAGTTTTTTTCGAAAGTCAACCTCAACGAAAGCGTCATATTGATTGTATTTGGTTATCAAATGATTGAAGAGCATGCGCTTACAGAGGTCTCTTGAAAGATCGTTTATTGAAGAGAAGTTAAAGGCTGTTTAATATTCCTTTCGTGCCGTCAGTCTTTTTGTTTGTCATCCTCTGCGGTTAAATGATCTGTCGGCGACAACAGCCTAGTGACTGTTTCGCTCGTTTCGTGAAAACACATTATCTCCCAACTGAAATAACCGTCAGTAGATCTTTGCAAAAACTTACCTTTCTATTAAAAGTAACGTACTTGAATTACTGTCTAGATAATTAACTAATTTTCGGCAGTTAATCGTATTTGGATTGGATCATTCAAAACAAGCAAAAACAAGTATGGAGTTCCGGAGAGATCGTTGTCTCACGATTTCAATCGAGTCCCAGTTGACACTATTCCTAATAATTATGAAAGGGTCTGAAAGAAGAAAACTAAAATTAACGAGGTTTTCGAGAGAATTACAGACAGCAAAATGATAAAATGGCTCCTTTGTTTACTGTAGCAAAAAGGAATCTTACTGAGCAAAATGAGCGACATCCAGGGACTGACGTTATTTACATACCCCTGTTGTGTCTACAAAAATAGCTACTTTTTAAAAATATATTCTGAAAATGCACGCACACTGTAGACATTATATTTACTTAGTTCCTTTTAAAGGAAGAGTCATATTTAAACACTATTAAGGCACGACGGCGAGTTTGAACACCTCTTTTCTGTACCTCTGACTGTAAGTAAGTCTGTAAGGTAAATTTAAAAATGTGGCCCTTCAAACTTTTCAACGTCTTTTCATGTATGTTTAGTTTCTTTTGTTCTATGAGCTTGAAAGTTAGAGTAATTCAAAATACTCTTTCAATGCAAACCTGTTATGAACAAAACTTTTTCTACAGTTATTTTCGTTCGCATTTTCCAGTCAGTGTTTGGGTAAAGAATCGTTTTTTTTCCTCAATGATTTCTTATGAATGTTCACTAATTAGAGTGCAATTAAAATTGCTTACTCTAGTAATGGAGTAAGAAATCAAACCGAATTTTCACATTTTGCGTTTCACTTGTGTTGCTTGCTTTCCACCTGGTTAGTTGACACATGTACACATATTTTGAATTTGCATAATTGAACTGAAGTTTGTTCAAGTATGCTTGCTCAAACAACTGAACGACTGGGCGACTGATTGATAGCAAGTAAATTGAACAAATAACGTCTTAGAGAGGTTCTTTTACAAATCAATATCAATGGTTAAAGGTGTTTAAGTTGTCAGCTTTTAGATCAAGTCACGGAAACATACAAAAAATTGTCTATGGGTACGATAACTTGATACCCTTCTCTGGCAAAACCTGATCACAGCTTAGTTTTACTGCTTTGCAAAGCATCTTCAAAAAGTGTGTATCACAAGCGACGAAATGAAATTTTGTTTAAGTTGCCAATAATCTGGAAGTTACTCTGGTGGCTATAGACACGCTATTTTTTTTTTTTATAACACCGAAAGAATTAACTGTAGTTTGCTTACTCAGAAGGATACGCTTTTATGATTTCCAGAAAAGTACAGCTGGTGGTCCGCTTTGATAACCACTGCTGACTGCTGAACAACGAAGCTTTCAGGAATTGAGTCAGATGCGGTTAGGATTTTCATTCAGTTATCGCTCTAAATTCTAAATCCCAGAAACAATAGATAACCTTAGAATCTGAGACAAGAATGACTACAAGTACAAAATCTTCTCAATACTAACTATTGTTCATGCGTGTACCAGCATCATTTTGGCGGGAAAACGTGGTAGCCATCGTCATTCTACTACGAGTTTTAGCAAGAGTGTCGTAGTGGCGGGAACAAGTTAGCTTGCGTGGCAGGGGCAAAAAGGGAAGGGAGTGGGGGAGGGAGAAAAGCGCGAAAGGGAAAAGGGAAACTCTCCCCAATCCCTCCCTTTTCTCTTCCTCCCTATATCCCCTACCGCTTTCGACGCCTGCTACGCAGGCTAGGAACAAGTTATCAAATGTAAGAAGTTTCATTATTCTGCTATCGGGAGAGGGCTTAACCTCCTTAAGTGTAAATAACCGTATTTACGTATTAACCTTTTTGATGAAAAAAGGTAATTTGAAGCTTTCCAGGGTGTCTTTTTTTTTTTTTTTAGAACACGCACTAAAACTTTAAGTTAAATCTCGTCCTCGTCCTCGTTCTCGACCTCAAATCTAAAGCTCTCTAATTTCGGCCCCAGTTCTCTTCTCGTTCCCAAAGTGACGAATTGATCTTCAACCCAATTCCCATACTAGAGTGTTCAACTATGCTTGCTCAAACAACTGAAAGACTGGGCAACTGCGGATTAATAGCAAGTAAATTGAACAAATGACGTCTTAGAGAGGTGTTTTCATAAATCAATATCAATGGTTAAAGGTGTTCAAGTAGACAGTTTTAGATCACGTCACGGAAACATACAACAATTTGTCTATGGGTGCGATAACTTGCTACCCTTCTCTGGCGAAACCTGATCGTAGCTTAGTTTCACTGCTTTGCAAGGCATCTTTAAAAAGTGTGTATTACAAGCGACAAAATGAAATTTTGTTTAAGTTGCCAGTAATCTGGAAGTTGCTCTGGTGGCTATAGATACGACCCTTGTTTTGATAACACCGAAAGAAATAACTGTAGATTGCTTACTCAGAGGGATACGCTTTTATGATCTCCAGAAAAGTACAGCTGGTGGTCCGCTTTGGTAACCACTGCTGACGGCTGACTAACGAAGCTTTCAGCTATTGAGTCAGATGCGGTTAGGATTTTCTTTCAGTTATCACCTTGAATTCTCTTTTGATCCCTCATAAAAAAAGTTAACACATACTTTTTAGGTCAGCATTTCCAGTTTTATTATCTTTTACAAGTGCAGTACAAGAATTAGCCTCTTACGTTTTGCCTCTCTTGTTTTTGCTTAGTTTGTTAGTCGCTTGACTAACGCAGTAACTGGCCTACAATGCTGGAAAATTGGTAAAGTGAAAAGCCTGAAAACCTAGTTAGATTTTCTTTGGCATAGAATCACTGGAGCATCTGTTATGACTGACTTAGCCACTTTACACGGCCAGTCATTCCATTTCCCTCTTATGGAGCCTGAAGTAATTATGTGGCCACACTTTTCGGTTGATGGTTGGTCTGGTTGACCAATGCCCCACGCACTATAGCCGCTCAACAGAGTGTCGTCTGTCCAGTAGAACTTTGTGTCTGCTTTGCGGTGAAGTCCCAGCCATGCGCCATAAACCGTTACCTTTACTTGCTTAAGAATTAGATTGAAAATGAACTGATTTTCGGCAGCTGTGGTGATTTTAACCAAGTCTCCTCCCAGCTTCAGGCAGTTTCTTCGTGCGTCATCCCACTCTAACGTTGGCACATCTATGACGAGGTAACAGGACTTTCCATAAAGAACCCATCCGGTAGGACATGGCGATACTGAAATATGAACATTTCACAAGCCGAGTCAAGAATCGACAAAACGTTGAGTAGAATTTTCACCCCGTCTACAACGACAGTTGTTGAGGAGAAAATGGAAAAAAGCTAATAAAGCAATTCATTACCTTTGCTTGATTGAGCCGCAATGTAATCAACTTTTGCTTTGATGTGCGCCATCATTTCACGCTCGGTTTTAGCCAGGCCGCAATTGTTGTTTACAACAAAGTTTTGTCCTGCTTGAGGGTTCAGCTTATCGACTGGTTTGGGACTGGAGTTTTGGGTCCTCCCGCCAGATTTAGAAGTTATTGCCAAAAGGCAAAAAAGAAACACTTGTCTAGGACAAAAAATCATGTTATCTTCCAAAACCTCGAAAGACGATCAAGGATAGGTAAATTGTGAATTGTGATTATTGCGTGAAGATATATATTCTATAACTTGGGGATGAGTAAATTCACTTGTCATAATAGTAACGATGATTATATAGAACAAGAACATTTTCTAGTTCTATTTACGCCACTGAAGCGGAAGTTAATGTGTAAAGACCCCCCTCCCCCCAGGAAAAATCGATTTTTCCTTAAGGGAGGTGGGGGGAGGTCTGTACATAGGCTAGGTGTTGACTGATCGAAATAAACGAAGTGAAATGTCATCACTGTTATGAAGAGTGAATCTGTTTAAGGTATGTAAGCTCATATTTATAAAGCTGAATTTGACACTTTCTCCAGTAATTCCTATCAGCATCATAACTTCTATAATATTCTCATGGCCCGGCAAAAATAAAAGACCACCTATAATCTCGATCGATAGTCCAGCGCTTGTTGTTGTTTTATTCTTTACACGGTTGCAGTGAGTGTCGCTTGCGTTTTGCAATTTCAGTACCAAAGGACAAATACGATATGCGAGGAAAACAAAGCTAAGAGGCATGATATTTTTTTTTCTTTTAGTGAATCATTTCCTTTGCTGGTTCGCTTCTCGCCTCTGAAATAATTAATTTGTGAAAAAGACCGCAGATAGCTGCTAACCATCACGCAACGTGACCACTTTGCAAGTTGCGAGAACATCGTTTCTCGGTCCCAGGCCTCGTCTCCCCCCTTCCCCTCCCCGCTTCGCCGGCTCAATGAAAAGTACACCTGGTGATCCGCTTTGGTAACCACTGCTGACGGCTGAATAACGACGCTTTCAGGAATTGAGTCAGATGCAGTTATAGAATTCTCTTTCAGTTATTACCCTAAATTCTCTTTTCAGTTCATCCCTCATTTTGAAATGACTAATAGAGAAGTTCGCCCAAACGTTTTTTCGCATGTCCAGTTTTATTAACCTTTTATAAGTGCAGTACAAGAATTACCCTCTTACTTTTTCCTAAGTGTGCAAGTCGCTTGCCTAACTCAGTAACTGGCCTACAATACTGGAAACTTGGTGAAGTGAAAAGCCTGAAAACTTCGATTTTCTTTGGCATAGAATGACTGGAGCATGTGTAATCCATGACTTATCCCATTTACATAGTACCTCATTTCACTTTCCTTTTCCGGAGCCTGTAGCGTAGATGTTGGCACACTTTTCTATTGATGGACTGTTTGGTTCACCAGTGGTCCGTGCACTATTTGCAATTTTCAAAACTTTCATGAAATATTCCTCAAGCATAACAGGGCTCAAGTCTCTTCTTAATTCATAAGAGGCAATTTGAGCCCTTAAATGCGTAAGGAAAATATTTAACGACAGTTTAAAAATTTTAGAATTTACAAGGATTTGTATGGAAAACCATGCAAGCGTGACTGGATGGCAAAAGTTGTTTTTCTCAAACAAATGCTTCTATCTTTCGGCGGCCGTTACACTCGCTACGTTTGAGATACACAGCTGAAAACTCTCAGGTTACTTAATTTTAATATGCTCTTTCAGCTTGTGCTAACAAAATTCATTCAATAGTGAACCGTTTACGTGTTTACCGAAAGTTGATTACGTGATAAGGTCATGCAAAGAGCCTATAGCGGACTGGCGCGTCCACAATAACGATCCCAGAAACAATAGGTACCCTTAGATTCTGGGACGAGAACGACTACAAGTACGAGATTTTCTCAATACTAACTATTGTTCATGCGTGTACCAGCATCATTTTGGCGGGAAAACGTGATAGCCATCGTCATTCTACTACGAGTTTTAGCAAGAGTGTCGTAGTGGCGGGAACAAGTTAGCCTGCGTGGCAGGCGCAAAAAGGGGAGGGAGTGGGGGAGGGAGAAAAGCGCGAAAGTGAAAAGGGAAACTCTCCCCAATCCCCTTCCCTTTTCTCTTCCTCCCTATATCCCCTACCCCTTTCGACGCCTGCTACGCAGGCTAGGAACAAGTTATCAAAAGTAAGAAGTTTTATCATTCTGCTATCGGGAGAGGGCTTAACCTCCTTAAGTGTAAATAACCGTATTTACGTATTAACCTTTTTGGTGAAAAAAGGTAAATTGAAGCTTTCCAGGGTGTACTTTTTTTAAGAACACGCACTAAAACTTTAAGTTAAATCTCGTCCTCGTCCTCGTTCTCGACCTCAAATCTAAAGCTCTCTAATTTCGGCTCCAGTTCTCTTCTCGTTTTTAAAGTGGCGAATTGATCTTTAACCCAATTCCCATACTAGTTTGTTCAAGTATGCTTGCTCAAACAACTGAAAGACTAGGCGACTGCGGATTAATAGCAAGTAAACTGAACAAATGACGTCTTAGAGAGGTGTTTTCATAAATCAATATCAATGGTTAAAGGTGTTCAAGTAGACAGTTTTAGATCAAGTCACGGAAACATACAAAAATTTGTCTATGGGTGCGATAACTTGCTACCCTTCTCTGGCGAAACCTGATCGTAGCTTAGTTTCACTGCTTTGCAAGGCATCTTTAAAAAGTGTGTATTACAAGCGACAAAATGAAAGTTTTTTTAAGTTGCCAGTAATCTGGAAGTTGCTCTGGTGGCTATAGATACGACCCTTTTTTTTGATAACACCGAAAGAAATAACTGTAGATTGCTTACTCAGAAGCGGATACGTTTTTATGATCCCCAGAAAATTACAGCTGGTGGTCCGCTTTGGTAAACCACTGCTGAGCTGAATAACGAAGCTTTCAGGAATTGAGTCAGATGCGGTTAGGATGTTCTTTCAGTTATCGCTCTAAATTCTCTTTTCATCCCTCATTTTGAAATGAATAAAAAAAAGTTAGCACATACGTTTTAACGCATTTCCAGTTTTATTAACCCTTTACAAGTGAAGTACAAGAATTACCCTCTCACTTTTTGCTTAGTTTGTAATTCACTTGACTAACACAGAACCTGGCCTACAAAGCTGGAGACTTGCTGAAGTGAAAAGTCTGAAAACCTAATTAGATTTTCTTTCGCAGAGAACGACTGGAGCAATGTTTATGTGTGCCTTACTCAGTTTACAAAGCCAGTCATTCCACTTTCCTTTTGCGGAACCTGAAGCGATCATGTGGCCACACTTTTCTGTTGATGGACTGTTCGGTTCACCAGTGTTCCATGCACCATAGCCGCTTAGCAGAGTGTCGTCTGTCCAATAGAACTTTGTGTCTGCTTTGCGGCGGAGACCAAGCCAGGCGCCATTTTGCATGACTTTTTGCTGCTTGAGAATAAGATTAAGGATAAACTGATTTTCGGCGGCTGTGGTGATTTTAACCAAGTCTCCTCCCAGCTTCAGGCAGTTTCTTCGTGCGTCATCCCACTCTAGCGTTGGCACATCTATGACGAGGTAACAGGACTTTCCATAAAGAACCCATCCGGTAGGACATGGCGATACTGAAATGTAAACATTTCACAAGCCGAGTCAAGAATCGACAAAACGTTGAGTAGAATTTTCACCCCGTCTACAACGACAGTTGTTGAGGAGAAAATGGAAAAAAGCTAATAAAGCAATTCATTACCTTTGCTTGATTGAGCCGCAATGTAATCAACTTTTGCTTTGATGTGCGCCATCATTTCACGCTCGGTTTTAGCCAGGCCGCAATTGTTGTTTACAACAAAGTTTTGTCCTGCTTGAGGGTTCAGCTTATCGCCTGGTTTGGGACTGGAGTTTTGGGTCCTCCCGCCAGATTTAGAAGTTATTGCCAAAAGGCAAAAAAGAAACACTTGTCTAGGACGAAAAATCATGTTATCTTCCAAAACCTCGAAAGACGATCAAGGATAGGTAACTTGTGAATTGTGATTATGGCGTGAAGATATAAATTGTGTAACTCGTAGATGATTAAATTCACTTGTCATAGTAGTAATTATAGTAATATAGAACAAGAACATTTTCTAGTTCTATTTACGCCACTGAAGCGGAAGTTAATGTATAAATCAACAAGCACGTTGGTGATAATAGAACTAGCTTTCCTGTATACATTCGATGTAGTTATTGAGAAGGTCTGAGAAGCATATGGTTCTGTATAGTATGCTTAGTTTTTTTAATCATATCTCTTTTTTAAAAAAAAAAAACGTTTGTGAAACGTTTGTAGTCATTGGAGTGGAATCTTCTCCTTTGATTTATTCAAAACGGTGAAATATTCGGTCAAGTCACGGTGCATAATGATTATTTTATGTTTGTAAAGGTACAATGAAAAATTAATATAGTAACATTGCATTCTGTTTTCTATGATTCTGACAAATGAAAGGGATCTCAATTTACAGGGGAAAATTATACCGTTGCATTAAATTCGAATTGCATCGTTGATTGAAATAGAAAAAAATAAACTGGGAATTTGAAAAAAACCCTGGAGGCAAAGGTCATGTGGACTAGTACATGTCAACGTTTTGAAAAGAACAAATATAACTAGTTGTAGCTTTCGCTAAGTGCCAACGAAAGAAAAAGAATTTTCCTACGTCACCGGTTTTAGTTCCAATGTGTTTATAAAACCATTTTAGCTGTTGAGCCAAGAATTTCCACTACAAGCATTCCTCCGGCTCTCCAAAGTGAGAATTTTTGAATACGCTATGAACCCGGAATCGTGTCGACGCTAAATCCGGATTTTTTTCATCCGGTGACGTAACAAGATCGAGCCGAGATCTTTACTGTGAATACTGTATTCAAGACGGCAACCTCGGCTCCAGTAAAAACCTTTGAATTGAGAGGTCCACTCAACGCGTAAATAAAACCGACTGGTTCTTTCTTGCCGAATCTCAAATGTAGTGGTGCTTCTGCCTGACGTTAGTTGAAGTGGAGATTAAAACAAAACTTAATGCAAGGCTAGAAAAACGGCAAAGAGCTGATTCATTTGAGGTCAATATTTCGGCCAACAAAATTAGTCTTCTTCAGGGCCAGAGCTACACTATAACGCCTCGTCTAATTTAAATTCAAATTTTACGAGCCGTTATAGTATTCTCGTAGCCTCTTCGCTTTAGTCGATCTCCAGGTTTCTCAAGTGAACAATATAAATGAGTTAACATTCTGCTAGATTTGCTGATTTTCCCTTTTGTGCTGAAGTTATTCTCTAATCCGCATGGCAGGCGATAATAGGGGAGGGAGAGGGGGGCGGGGGGAGTTCCTAATCAATACCCCGGCTTTTCAGTAAACCCGACAGATTTACGACAGGTTACAGGACAAATTGTAGCTCTGGCCCTGAAGAAGACTAATTTTGTTGGCCGAAATATTGACCTCAAATGAATCAGCTCTTTGCCGTATTTCTAGCCTTGCATTAAGTTTTGTTTTAATCTCCACTTCAACTAACGTCAGGCAGAAGCACCACTACAAGGCCTACTCTGGGACCTAAAGTCGCCTAAAGTCGCCCAAAGTCGCCTTAAGTCGCCTAAAATCGCCTTAAGTCGCCTAAAGTCGCCTTTAGTTTCCTTAAGTCACTAAATCATTCAAATCTTAACGAGGTTCAAATTGTCTTGTAGTTATTACTTTTTTAGTTTTCCATTTCCAGAATGCATGATTTCTCATAAAGTGTATAATAACCTGTGTTAGCCACAGACCCACCCCACCCCCCACAAAAAAACTCCCACGGTGAGTAAAGACCCATTAATTTCTTCTCCAGCCCTCTAATTTATACATTTAATTACTTTACACAATTTACTACACGTAATAATTAGTCGTAAGCAATACAAGAATAATCATTCTTGTATTGTTTATGCAAAAATGACAACATATAGTACTTTATCCACTCACTTGTACAGGTATTTTATTAATTTCATCCGGGAGGTTTGTCTCATATTTCTCAGTAAAAATATTGTTTAAAAAGGTATTCAAAGGTTCAAGTTCTAGCTAAACTACATTAAACAGTGTGCAAAGAGAGTAGACAGAGTAGTGTCCAGGCAATAGCCCTGGGGTACTGGATTTTATGACTGGGCTAGTGAACTGCGTTTTTAACTTGCCTGGCTGACGAGTAAAGTTTTTTAGGAAATTCAGATTACAGAAGAACTGTAATCAGTCCCATTCATAAAAAAAATTGGGGTTAGTCAAAATGGCTTTCAGGCTAGTGTATGCTAGGCAAGCTGTAAAGCCGACTTTCTTTGCACCCTGGACAAAATATAGTTAAAACTCTTTTCTACTGCTTTGTGAGAGTCCAACATTGAAAGACATTTCAAGTAACTAAGATCAATACAGGTAGGTTGAAGGGAGAGAAAAAAACAATTATTGCCGCCACAACATTAATCTAAATTTTCTGGTAGTTATTACAAGTCTAAAGGTCAATCGAAAAAAGTGTCCATGTAAATTACCGACCCAGATTTTAAGAGCAACTAATGATAAGTTTTTTCTCCGGCACACAACCTCTGATCTGTATTTACCGTCGAATTATATCCATCTATCACTGACAGAAACACAATCACTCTTATAAACTTGACCACTTAGCTTAGCTTGTACAGTCGTCTCTTTAGGTCTTCCCTTCCAGACAGAAATTCAAGCTTTGTACATCGAAGGTGCGTAATACTGCTCTTTGTTTATGTTGTCGTGATTGCTCCCTGCCAAACGATTTGATGTAATCGATCATTATTGATGAAGAACGTAGAAAAGCGAAATAATACTGTTCTTTCCTCTACGTTATGGCCGCCCAGAAAGTAGCGTGTTTTGATCACGTGACTAACTGGTCTGGAGGCGGGGACAGGGCGGGACCGAGAAACCATGGAAATTAGCTTGCGACTGCAGTGGAATTCTGGGAGAAGCAAAATGGCGGATAGAATGTTGTACCTCGCGTTTTCGTTTAAAGATCTCCTTTTAAATGGAAATTTCTGACATAATAATGGAAACGTTTACACTTGGTACTGCCATCGGTTTAAACATGACGCATAATGCTTCCTTTTGTGCTGAGAGCGTAAACACTGCCGCGTGGAACAGACCGAGAGAGGTTGGTTGAAGCTAAGCTTAGTTGTTTACGTTTCTGCTGGTGAATAAATGCACTCATGAAATCAACCCGACTGGAAAGTTTCCAGAGAGACCATGGATAAGAGAGTACGGTTCACTAGCGAAGCAAGTATTTGGAAGTGTTTTGTTTGACTGAGACAGGAAAGGAGCAATATGTATACGGCGAGAACTACAAACTTTTTGTTTTGAATTCAATTGGAAAAACATCCTCTTAGCCAAGCTTGTGGGGACAAACATTTACAGAGCAAGTGCCAAGACATACAGTGGGGATCGTCATTTCCATAATGTGCGATATCGATAAGTGATTTTAGATGTTTTAAATTAATTACTTAAATGTTTGTTGTCAAATTATGAAAAAAAGACACTTGAATATAAAGTTTTTGCTACAAACCAGCTCACAGTATTTTACGGAGATGTATTGAAATACTCTACTTTTATGGTTTTATTTTTTGGAAAAAGAAATGCAGGAACCATTGATTTTTTGTCCCTTATATTATGAAATAATGCATTTAAAGACCAAGAGAAAATTTACCCTTTTGGTTGCTTCTAACTCAGATTTTGTCTCTGCTAATGTAATACTAAACCAACACCCTTGATATTAGCCTGTGCCACAGATGGAACTAAACTCTGGGTTAAGTCCATCTGCAAAACAGTGGCAAAATCCTAGTTCTGGGCCCCCTGTGTGTGTATCAGGATTAGAGAACATGCCAGGACTGGACTGTTAAAAATGCCATTGTCCATTTGCCAATCATGTTGAAGGGGAACTCAAAATGCTGGTAATTCATTTAGGCCCAGAACAAGGATATTAGAGCTGCTTCACAAATGTTACTAACCACGGTTAGAATACACCTGCAACACAAGCTACCTTGATATTTAATGTTCAAAATATTAGGTAGCTGAGGTTGTTGAAAATTTGGAAGACTAATGTAGATGTCTTCAAGACTGAATTAATTTATGCTACAACATTGTGTCCCTAGAGAGGTAGTGTTATCAGATTTTGATTTTGTATATGTTGTAGTTCATTTTTATTTGAGTTAATTTTTATTTTTCCATCGTTTCTGGGTATGGTTATGTATGCTAATGAATTTAAAACAAAGGGAAACCAAAAATTAACTGAAATTAAAAATTAACTGCGACATATTGACACTAACATGTAACTCACCTAAATGTCTTTCTCCTTAAGTCGCCTAAAGTCGCCTTAAATCGCCTAAAGTCGCCTTAAATCGCCTTAAGTCGCGCAACATTTTGACCAAATTTTCCTAAAGTCGCCTTAAATCGCCTTAAGTCGCCTAAAATTACGGCGACTTAAGGTCCCAGAGTAGGCCTACTACATTTGAGATTCGGCAAGAAAGAACCAGTCGGTTTTATTTACGCGTTGAGTGGACCTCTCAATTCAAAGGTTTTTACTGGAGCCGAGGTTGCCGTCTTGAATACAGTATTCACAGTAAAGATCTCGGCTCGATCTTGTTACGTCAAGTATATATGTTACATGCGGGTAAAATATGTTCTTATGTTAAACCAGTACTTAACAACCAGGGATTAGCTTTTAAGCAGTATGTGAATTACATAACAGCATTATTTGTATTCGACTTATTAGTGAGAAACTACACGTACACTGGATACCTTTTGCGCCGCCGCGTAAATCGTCCTGGATAGAGCTTCTGTTCATACGGAAGAACGGTTCTGGCGGCGCGATTTCTTTAACGAATTAAAGCTTCGCCGCGCCGATCTTGAAGTGGAACTTCACATATCGGATAGCTGGTTCTGTGCTATACTTTGGTGCCGAGTGTGAACACCTATTCGGTCCGTC